TTAGACGAGCATTCAAACGATGTCCTTTTTTTCGATATGCCCGAAGCCCTAAGTCTTCATTTAACACCCTTTTTACCGTGGGTCTGCTTAACCCCATCGGGCGAAGGGCCAACAGTCTCTGCTTACGTTTGGGATTTCTTTGAATTCGCGCCTTCACAGCTTTTATCACTGCTGGAGTCCTAACAGACCGAAGGCGACCACTTCTTGACCTGTCATCTATACTAGAGTCTTCATTGTATCGTTTGATGGTACGATAAACGAACCTTTTGGTTTTATTAAAATTTTTCAGTATGTCAAAAATTTGAATTGGCGCGTAACCGCAACGATGCAACGCAATAACTGCAACACGGTCTTCTTTAAGCATCCTCTCCATATTTAAAAATGAGTAAAATTCTAAAAAGTATACATTTTTATTTTCATGAACAATTCGAAATTCGAATTCAATAAACTTTTTTGTGGCCAACATTCTAAAAGAAAAGTTTTTACTGTGTGACAATACTTATGACCTGACTGTGTATATTGTAAAAGTAAATATGAAATTAAACAGATAATATTAGCCGTCATGCCATAATAAAAGAAGAAGAAGAAACAGATAATAACACACTGGGTTATCGGAAAATCATATGATGAGACTAAATTTTTTTTAAGTTAATTATTTATCACGCATACATAAAACCGCGCGCGCGCACAAATACAAACACACACACATGCACAACTTAATGATTTCTATTTTAAATTTACTTCTACCATAAATAAATAAATATACACACCTATTTGGTTTAATGGAGTGCTTTTAATTTGTATCGAGGGTTGAAGGCCTGTCCTCGTAGCATGATCACCACAATTTAAATTATATCACGGTTTTATCGCGTCTAACTGTCAAAATCATAGTAATTTGACAATTGAGCGTGATAAAAATGCGTGATATACAATATCGCGGTGCTCATGCTAGAGGGGCTGGTGTTCGAAAATACAGGTAGACTACTGCCTAGTTTAGACTCCAGTCTCCCACAGGCGTATGTATGTATATTAATAACCTATGCATACTATGATCTGTTGATGTTTGTGGAGAGATAGCCCCAACACAAACTTAAAAGAACCCATAAAAAACTATGTTCTTAAAAATATAACTTTCAACGTGAAACATTACCTTACTAAGCTATGTGACTCTACTATAGTCTTAACTAATTTAAATTACGAAGACCCTTTGATATCAATTACATCGAATTAGTTACAGTTTAGGGTGACAATGTAGGATACTTACACCATACTACGTGCATCGGATTATGGTGCATGTCTAATTAATTACAACAACATTTGAACCCGTAACAGATGTTAAGTTTCTTATTCCACGGGCTAGTTGCACAAAGAGTGTGTACCTACTGAACAGAGTCAGTTAAAAAAAGCTGCCAAGTGCGAGTCGGACTCGCCCATATAGGGTTCCGTAGCAACAAGTAACATAATATAAAAGTACTTGTAGTTGTAACTTTGATCGATGTTTTAATAATACTGTATTTTTTTAAAGTGATTTGTGATTTATGACGAATTAAAAAAAACTACTAACTAGTTTACTACAATTTTCAGTGAAAGTTTGCATGGTAATGTACAGCATATATATTGTTTAGTTTTATCATTCTCTTATTTTAGAAGTTACAGGAGGGGGACGGGCCACACATTTTACCACTTTGTATGTGTCTCTCGCGCAAACTATTCAGTTTAGTAAAAAAAAATTAGAAATACCTCAATATCATTTTTGAAGTTCTCCCATCTTCTTACTAAGTTTCAACACTATAGTTCTTATAGTTTCGGAAAAAAGTGTCTGTGACACACGGACGGACAGACAGACAGACATGACGAATCTATAAGGGTTCCTTTTTTTGTCATTTGGCTACGGAATCCTAAAACCGCCTATTCTAGTCGGACTCGTGCACAACGGGTTCTGTACCGTACATACAACATTCGGCATTATTTTAAAATACCAAGTAAAAAACAGAAAAAAAACACTTTTATTGTATGGGAGCTGAAATATTTGTTTTTTATTAACACGCTTTTTATTAGATCGACTTGTAACGAACTATGTAGATATGTATTAAAATCTAAGAATCTGAAAAAACGCACTTCTTATTCTTGTATCACCATGAAACTTGGCAATTATATGTAGATTAGATGTCAATACAATATTATGGTACCATCGAGCTGGTCTGATGATGGGACTGGAAGGTGGCTGATGGAACCTTGAACTGCCTGAAACATATGGAGTTTGTGGTTATTAGATTCTTCTTAACATATTCTGTTCATTTCTCCTGATGACGAGGACCTGACAATGGACTGGAAGGTGGCTGATGGACCTTGGACTGCTTACTAGATAAAATATCGAGTTTGGCTCATTACATTCGTCTTAATATTTTCTTTTTATTTCGTTTAGAAGGGTCTTGTCAATGGTAGTATTGGTTATATTTCCGAGATTATTTGGCCACATTTTCGAAATGTATGAAACTGATATACCTACAATCAAAGTGAATTTTGGTAAAGACGGCGAACAACTTATTAAACCCATAGGGTTACAATTCTCAACTATGTATAGCTGCGGCTTCAAAAGTGCCGCAGCTATACATAGCCGGGAATTGTAGGCGTATGCTTCCTGTTATTTTAAGCTGGGCATCGACAGTCCACAAGAAGGTTGTACGGTGGATCACGCAGGATCACATACTTTTGCGTCTGTTGCCCAGACTTAGTCGCTCTAAGTAGAGTAAAATATCTTAATGGTCTACTGATCGAGGAACAGGACTGTTCCAAGCTAACAGAAAAAACGCCTTGCAATAGTGCAACCTTATCGGAGATGGAGAGGATGCGTATTTAGTCGCAATTAACTCGTTCTATGTTTTGTAATAAACTTAAAGAGAAAAATAAATTAATAGTTTAAAAACTAAGAACATGCTTTTATTTACTGCACTAAAAAGCCAAAAATATACAAAATATACTGTATGTTTACTTCATTAGGGCCTTAGAGTAAGCCATGTTTATAGTTTATTTTAACATTATTTAACTAAAAAAGCGCGGGGCGCTTTTCATTGCAATATTTATCAAATCAATTAATATTTTGTTTATTTTTGGCTTTTTAGTGCAGTAAATAAATGTGTGTTTTTAGTTTATTAAACTATTAATTTTAGTATTGGTTATAGCAGCATGCGGTAGCAGAAATACATTATCTGTAAAAATTTCAACGGTCTCGCTATCACGGTTCATTAGATACAGCCTGTTGACAGACAGACAGAGAGATGAATATTGGAGTTATAAGGTCCCGTTTTTACCCTGTGTATGGTACCCTAAAAACTTATTATTCTGAGGTGAATGCTCCAATACGCGACTGAGAATGGCAATGGTGGAATGTGCCAGTACGCTCGCGTAGGTAAAATTAAGAGAGGTAAGGGTTAGCGGAATTTCCCCTTGCATTCAAACGACCGTCTGGGGTAGCAACCAAGACCACGAAGTGTTGTGTTTCTGTTGGTGCTTTTGATTTAGGGCATCTCATTCTCAACATGCAATCCAGCTCTCGATTTCATTTTGTCGATTCAGTTAACGCAATCGCAGCTTCGATTTCATTTCATAAAAATTTCGATAGTTGTTAAATATCTATTACTGGCTGCTTCAACCAACAGTCATTACGATTTTTTGCCATGTAACGACTTAGGCCTACTTGCAGCAAATTTACGATTCTAGATTCAACTAAAATTAGATTTAATCCATATAAAAATGTCAAAACGTCAATGTCAATTTGAAACTCTTATATATATAGGTTAATAAATTAAATCGAGATTTAGCAAATATGCTGCAAGTGGGCCTTAATACTTAGCATACTGAGATTTTATTTTACAGAAACGCCCTACTCACTTCACAACTAAACTTCTCTCACAATTAATGTTAGGCAATCAATTAGCAGTGTTGCCACCTTGAATTTTTTTAATACGCCAAGTCAAAGGTAAAATATCGCCAGATTTCAAAAATTTGGATTTTTTAAAATACACCAAAATCCGCTAAATTACAATTACATCTAAGACAAAAAGAACAAAAAAAATGGCAATATTGTTTTTATTTACTAAATTATAACTTTTCCGAGCGTTACCTTAGTAGTACTAGAGAATGAAATAAAATTAGGTAAATATGTATTTACATTCATTCTTTATAATCAAGAAATAAATATTGATATCGTTTGATTGCCGGATAGAATTTGCATTTTTTGTTTGTACTTTTTTGTTTCTGCATTTCTTCTCAAATTTACTACTTGTGCTAATAATTCTGCTTTACAAAATGCACAAAACGCCTTCGCATCAACACCTGCTTAAGGTTTAAGCCAGGTTTGGAATTCGTCGAGTGATTCCCATTCTTTTCTATACTAAGTAAGTAATTATTTTTCTTGAATAGAATTTCCATAATAACATATAATGGAATACTCTAAACATACAGCTTCAGGAGTTCACACACTGTTACAAACGTTTCTATCAAATCAAACTTTTACACTTTTAAAGAACACAATGAACGTGAACCTAATTTCTGAAACATAATGAACGATTAAAGGAAGCCCTTAACAGACAAACGCGTGTAGGAATTCCCCTGTCACAGAGTAAGCATAGAACATTATGAAATTCCGGAAAGTTAGGGGATTTCCCCCTTAAAAATATGTTGCTAGATTTCAAGTTAAAAAACCACTAAAAAACGCTAAAAAAAATATACCCGCTAGATCATGAAAATATACGACTAGAAGCCGTGAAAAAGCACCAGTTCTGGTGGAAAACCCACCAAGGTGACAACACTGTCAATTAGTTGTATAAATGACGAATCTTAAAACTATTGCAAGTTAGCAACCTCACCCTAATAAATTTCAGGTTCTCATTAAGTGCAACTAATGTTGTTACTATGGGCATGAGATTTATTTAATGTAATATTTTTCCTTATTTTGCCTACTATTTTTGAATTATAAAATTATAATTTCCTCTTTTCAGGTATCAAATTATACGCATACTATGAACGCCTGACGCACTTTACATAATGACATTGTCGAATGGCATTGATGACTTTCTAGGAACAAAGACTGATATATTTGATGATTCCAACTGGGAAACGTTATATTGTTCTCATCTATGGTCGAATAGCCATTTGAGAAAAGCAATTTTAGGAGCACCATGTTCCAATAAAAGAGTTGTTAAATATTGCTACACCTGTAAAGGAAAGATAAGAAGATATGAAATTCAACCTTCCGATGATAGTTTTCTACCAAATAATCATTCTACTCCAACACGAAGTATACAAACGGGAAATCCTGGACTGCCTTTAACCATCTCCCAAGAAAGTTCTCTAAACGTTATATCTTTAGACCTTTCAGGTGATAAATTAGTATCAAAAGGCAATAATACTTCCAGAAATGTTGATGATAACCCAAGCATTCCAACAATATCGCGTCAAGTTGATTCTAGTTTTCGCCAAAAGTTTACTTCCTATGATATGCGTACCAATGAAATTAACCAAAGGAGACTGAGAAAAAGCCTTAAAGGCATCGGATGTATAGTTAATTTAGCACTTAATGATAATGCCGTAAAGAAAAGAACGCAGATACAGGCGTGCTCAATAAGTGTAATGATATTAGCAATTATAGTAATAAGCTTTGTTCTAGTAAATTTTACCAATCCTAATTATACACGTGCAACGAGTATAGAAAGTACAACGGTAGTGCCAACTAAAATTACAGATTCAAATGAAACATCATCAGCAATTATTAATTTAACTACAAGACCCGCAATTGCAACAACATTGAGTGTAACAGATATTACTGAAACTGTAAAAGCAGAAACGATAACTGAAGAAAACTCGTCACTAATCGTAAGTGTGATTTCTAAGATCCGTAAAAATGTCCGAACTTTTCCAAAAGACATAAAAAAAGAAAGTTTAAAGCCGAAGGAGATCATAAATAGAGATGTATCACAAAGATTTTGCTCGTGCCAAACAAATGAAGTTTGTATGTTAGATGAGAATAGTGGTACTTCGATTTGCCGCAAGGCGATAGATAATGAAGATCCAACAGGTATGATAATATTATTTTTGTACCAAAAATGCGAATGGTGCTATTGATAGAATTTAAAATTTTATAAATGTTTGCAGGTTGTGGAGGACTATGTGCTATCGAGACAGAAGCTTGCCAATTAGTCGATCGACTGCGCGGTGTACGCGTTTGTAGACTTTTGTCTTTGGTGACATGTTCGCCGCAGGAGTGGCGTTGTCGGAATGGTCTCTGTGTGAAAGCTGATCAACGATGTGACGGTTCCATTCAGTGTTATGATCGTTCCGATGAAATGCACTGTGGTGAGCTGACGATATTTGTCAAGAATACAGTACCAATTAATATTGTCTATATAAAATGGGTTTAACCATACTCATGATGTAAAGTAGTTTTTTGATATACTTTTCAAGTATATGATCCATGTATGCTTTTTCCAGATTGTGATTTAACGAAACAATTTCGGTGTGGTCATTCCATATCGTGTTTTTCGAATACAAAACTTTGTGACGGTATCATTGACTGCTGGGATGGGTTCGACGAATTAAATTGTACTTCCGGTACGTATACAATTAAATATGTTAACTTCATTAAGATTGACCTTCGTTCCTTGTCTTTTGACACACAAACTATAGAAATTGGAATGCAAATGGTATTAATACCGTTCAGCTGCTCGAAAAACTGGGTTATGAATGTGCTCACTCAGACCTAACGGGTCTTCCTATATCGACTTCCTCTTTAATGGAAATCCATTAAAGTAAGAAAATTATTTACACTTCTGTATATAATACATACTTACGTTACATGATAAAAGGATGGAAAATAATTCGATACTTCTCTGTTTTCAATAACATTTTAAGATACGTGCTTATCTTTTAAAGCAGCAGGGAATTAGTGAAATAGATTATGAGGTTCGCGTGTGGAAGTTAACATGATCACTACAATACAATGCATTTTCACACAGTTTGACTTTGAACTAGAATGAAGTCCGTACTTATGTTAACAATGTAGTTTTGCCTTGAAAGAATTGCGAACATTGGTTAATCGAAAGAAAAGATTTCAAATCCATTTACAGTTTTGAATATATAATTTATCTGAAAACAAATATAATACTCGTATGTCTGTAATTAGTAGTTCGGTTATAAACCCAACTACTAAGAACTAATTAATGGTAATTTGAACATCAGAGCCTCGCGTCACAATTAACACGAGCTTCAAGCCGATTAAGCCCAATAAGGGCTAACCGGAATATTAATAGCACGTGTAGCATATATTTAATTGTTAATTAGGTATATCACAGTAGATCATCTTAATCGGGTAATGATGATAATTGATAAAAGCTAAAACTTTTAATTTCGGGGTAATCGAGATGATGTATATGAAATACTGGATCGAAATAATATCCCAAAGATTTCACGTTATGGTAAGTACTCATATAGCGTTTATTTAACCCTCCAGAATTATTATTAAGGCATAGGCAACAATCATAGAGCAACACGGCTGACGCGGCCAGAACAAGAGATCACTTAATTTTGGCGTAGGTACCGTACCTAAAATGATGACCATAGAACCCTATACTGTGCCTTCGCTCTGCTTTCACTCGTCCATCCATTTGACAAAATGTTAAATTTCAATCATTTAAGCCAACATGCACGGATGCCCATCCATCCAAGAAACGTGAATTTTGCTGTTTTTTGTTAGACGAAGTGTGAAAATCTTACGAAACCGTTTGTTTGAAAATATGACTTGCATTGCGCCATTTTTTACTAGTTCTGATGAAAAAGCGAACGATATACTTACGTAATAAAAAGTGTTAATATATGGTCCCTCCAGAATTATTATTTACTAGCAAACCAGTGAACCAAATGTTCACCAAAAAAAAAATGTATTTCATTAATTGAGAACTTCGGAGATTTTGTGTGGTTTCGTTTGAAATAGAAATCACGTGATTTCTCGAAAACCGAAAGTGCTACGTTACTCACATCCGGTTTGTAGACTTATCAGACTATTCTTAACTTATAACTTAAACATTCTCTATATCTATCTCTTACGGTTTGGCCGCTGAAACAGCACCACGGACGGACGGACGGACTTGTCTAATAGATAAGAGACTAGCAAACCAGTGAACCAAATGTTCACCAAAACCTGATTTAAAAAAAATATATGTATTTAATTAATTGAGAACTTCGGAGATTTTGTGTGGTTTCGTTTGAAATAGAAATCACGTGATTTCTCGAAAACCGGAAGTGCTACGTTACTCACATCCGGTTTGTAGTCTTATCAGACTATTCTTAACATTCTCTATATCTATCTCTTACGGTTTGGCCGCTGAAACAGCACCACGGACGGACGGACGGACTTGTCTATTAGATAAGAGATGCCGAAACTAGCTTAGGCCTATTTGCGATGCAGCTATAATTACCAAAGTATGGTAATAATATCTATAGCTATACCAAAGTATATGAGACAGTTCTGTAATTTCTGTGTATACCTTCTACGTTTCTGCGTTATTGTCGTGTCTGGTCATAAATAATTTCACCATGTTTTTTTAATTATAAATAGATAAATCAAAGAACTTCCTGACATATAGGAACGTGGTTGGACAGAAGTAGAATTTGTAAGTACACACCTTTAGGACCGACTTTTGCGACTTTCACACTTTTTGAATTAGTTTTTGGAATTTCACCTCATATTGTTATTCCATATGTCAATATTGATTGACATAATGGAATTGTTGTTATTTCTACTTCTACTAAGCGATTTTCCAATCTGCTTTATTTTAAAAGATCCTCAAAGTCTAGGTTATTTTTAATTGTAAACACTTACATAAAGAAATCCCTCGATATCTTACGTACCTATATTGATTCAGGGCTCTTATTGTATTATTAAATGAAACTTGACCTACTTCGTTTCCTCTTGCACATATTGTTGCTCTTTAGTCATCCTAAATTCCTTTGTTAGTAAAATACCTTGATTTCTTTGCGGCAACTGTTTAAGTCTACATACTTGACATTGTACCTTTGTGTTTTGCACCCATTCCAGGTGGGAAAATAGCAGATGCGGTAGAAATCGAGCCGCACTAATCAGCCTTACCTTACTAGCTTAAACCCAATTTTCCTATATTACCTTGTGTGTTTTCTTATCTTACCTGCAGCAGAAGGACAGATTTGCATAAAGGCAGATATGTACTGTCGCCGTCAAAAAAAATACAAACCCTATTAACCATATTAGCAATTTGTAACCTCCTTGCTTTATATATCTAAATGGCCACCTTTAACTGTCATAAATAGTCAAGAAACGAATGGTGTAGAGGGATGGAACTGGAGGATGAATACAAAAATACATGCGAAACTTGACTCTTCCTGTTAATTCAGCTATAAAAAAAAGAATACTTTCAAGATCTCAAGTTAACCAGCAATAGCAAACCACAAAAACGTTATTATCTTACTACTCATAAGAATAAAAAAATTGATCAAGTTATCACGAGTTTATTCAATGACAAAATTTCTGCAATAAAATGTTTGCTAGGTTTGGCCGAAGTTACAAAGACCAATTAATTAATTCGTGATACAGTATTAAGTAATATTTTCTAATAAAATTTTATGAATTATAACTATTCAATTTTATTATAGTTTTCTGTGTGGGTCTGTACTTCTGCCTTTATGCAAATCTGTCCTTCTGCTAATCTGGGAAATTGCTATTCCGGCATATTGCTTATCTGTCCTTCTGTTACCGAGCGTGTGTGGAGCTCTTTTAACTTTCCAACGGGAACTTTGCAGCCCTCTGTAAGGTGGATACTACTTTTTGTGCCCTACCTCTCTTAAAAGACGATCTTAGCAAAATCCATACTTACTAATATTATAAAAGTGAAAGTGTGTCTGTCTGTCTATTACTTTTTCACGCTTTAACCCCTGAACCAAATGAGATGAAATTATATACAGAGACAGTTTGAGTCCCTGGGAACGACATAGGATATTTTCTATCCAAGTAATCATCATTGAAAGCGGTAAAAAAATTTCACGCAGACGAAGTCGTAGACACCCACTAGTAATATCATAAGTTTCTTATTGCAGGCTAGAACCAGACTGATTTAAGTCATTTCAATTTATTTTTTCAGAGTGTCCAGGAGACCAGTTCACTTGCACAAACGGACAATGCATAATATCATCAAGGTTCTGCGACAATCTGGCTGACTGCATGGACGGCAGCGATGAGCCTCACGGCTGTGATGGAGGATGCAGCGCCCAAGAGTTACGATGCGCTAACAGCCGATGTGTGCCGCGAGCGGCGCGGTGTGACGGCCGCGACCACTGCGGTGACTCTAGTGATGAGCTACACTGTTCCTAGTACCTACTTTTAGTAAACTAAGTTTTGGAGTAAAGTTTATTGTGATTATGAACATTCAGCTAATATAATTTGTGTTTGACGTAAATAATGTGATTGATAGTCGGTCATGCCATGACTTGCGCTATTGTGATTGTGAAGTGTACTGCTAATAATAGGTCCTAGCACTTCCACTTTGCCGCGGTATTTGAGATTTTTTAAATAGGAAAATATGCTGCCTTGCCCTTACCGTACTTTTTTTTTGTCTGGGAAATGCCTTACGAATCCTTCAACCACTGGGCGAGCGAAAAAGAAGGTATGTGGGCCTCCTCCCTGTCCCCTTCAGCCAGCCCTGGAGCTCGCTCAAGTGAACAGGGCACTACCTACGCCCTGAACAGGGCCACTAGAAACTAGACAATACTCCTGCACCGTCACCCGACACGCGCTATGAGGACCGCGGTCCCCCTAGAGCATGCCGAGAGGGCGGGTGTGGTCGCGGCACCCACCTCTGAATGGCCGCGCACCCGCCAGGTGTGCCCGTACCGTACCTGCCACTCTACGCCACGCCACTGAGTGTGTTTATTAACTCTAACTGCTGGCTGCAATTTTGAAGACTTTACTATTGCAGACGAACACAGTAACTTTACATCAATTCAAAATTTGTAAAATCGACTCTACTCAAAGTTAAGCTTCAACTGTTAAAAATAAACAGATTAGTATTGTATATTTATTATAATGTGCTATAATTGTTTTTGTACGAGTAACTCTTTGCAAAATTTTAGTTCCTATTCTTAATCTAGGTAGGTAGTAAAATATTGCAAGAAAGTTAGAGTTCGAAAAAAAATTCCTAGGCATTTATAATCATTTTTTTGCCCCTCATTCCAAGATTATAGTTATAAATAAAGTATAGGAGTGAAATAGGATATGGTAGCATAGGTACATTTATGGATCGACGATCAGAGGCCCAAACACGGACTTTGACAGATCCGTAACGTACAGTTATAGTCAAACTTTGTATGGAAGGAACCAAAAGAACGAACAATGAGATTTAATAATACTTAGTTTAATGTATTTGCCTGGAACAATGTCTAGTAGTAGTATCAGTAGAACCTAAACAGTTCCACAACTACGAGAAATAGTAATATAAAATTCCGATAAAGATTTATTTAGGTGCTTACTCAAAGTGTTATGATTCCCATTCGTAGGTTGGCCAAGTGGCCTGGGCAACTGAAATCCATTCGTGCGTTCGTTGGGCCCGGCCGCCCGGTGTGTACCCACCATTATAAAAAAGTTTATCAATGATTCCTGCCTTACCTACTGTCCATAAGTCAATTCATTGTAATTTAAGTACATTATAATGATTTAGGGCATATACATTGTATCTATCTAAGTAAGTATAAGAAATATATTTTATTGGTTTGCTCATGAATATCATAAATAATTTGTGTGGAATACCGTCCAGATGTTTTAACTGTTGTGGTCAGTGTGTTCCACCTGCAATTGTTGAGAGTTAAGCAACTTTCACAGAGGCTGGTAACTGAATGGGTGATTAAAAGTTGTCCGTTTAGCGTTTCAGCTATAATAGCAACCGTTAGCACCACCGAAATAAATTTATTTCTGTCGTTTGTCAACGACAGAAATTGGTGTCCCAAGAACCAACCCCAATTTCCACTGGGCTCGGCGTAATAGGCTTTGGGCCTTTTCCTGTATGTTTTGCTGAAGTAGGCCTATAATATTCCAGTGTATGTCCATCAGAAAGGACGATAATAGGTACTAATAATGAAAATTATTTATAGATCGAGAATTTTACTAGATTATTTCATTGGTCTAGCTGATAATGCTTTATACAAAAATATAAATTATTTATAGATTTATTTTAATACCTGCCTTTGGACATTCGTCGTTTCACGCGTATAGAATCTTTGAGCGAGCGGTATGAAGTGTACAGAAAGACAGCAGTGAATACTTGCTCAGTGGACAGGAGAAACAGAATATTGTCTTTTTTTTATATTCGAGTACTTACGAGTAAACGTGTGAGTCGTGTAAAAGCAGCAAACAATCCCGAAATTATAACCAAAGATTATCATTAAATTATTAGTATTAATTAAGTAGGTACCTAGATATTATTATTTTACCAGAAAAATAAAACAAGTAAAATTTTTTAATAGTTTTATTTTAAAAAGCTCCTATCATTTTCATAATATTAACCCCCAAAAACAATCGTAAATAAGAGAGACAAAATGGTTGGTTGGGGCCACCATGAGGCAAATACTAAAAGGCATTGTAAACTAGTTATTGAGTGAATTGGCCAAAATATAATAATAAGTGTCACATAAGACGGGAAAAAATCTCCCATCTGCGAGCCATTTTGGTCTGCACTGCATAAACAATAAAAGTTACATGAATGTAATGTAGAGTGAAAATGTATCTGATCTCTTAAATAGTTTTAAAAAAAAGCCCGTGACATCATATATCTATTTTTAATGTGTAAACCATTACCGCTAAAATAGTGAATCAAACTAAAATATTATTTGATATCTATTTCCAAAATGTACATTTTGTATTAACTTTTCTTTATGATGACTATGACACGTTTATATCTTTCCATTGTGAACTTTAAGGTGTAAGTTACAAAGTTACCATACGAAAATAGGAAAAAATAATGTTTAAGGGTTAATATTTTTTTTTAATTTTGGGCCAATGTTGGCCTTAGAAGAGGGTTACTTTAGCTCGTTGAGTTTTCTCGGCGAAAAAAACACATTTTAAGCCATGTTGGGGTTAAGTAACCCTTATAACGGGTCACCATTCGCATACTTAATACAAAAATGGATGTTTTTTCCCAAAAATAATTTTAGTTAAATAATAAAAAAAACGAATTTATTTTTATTAATCAAACGTGAAACGAAACATTGACAGTAAAGCTAAATAAAATATTTATACTTTGGTAAGTAATTAAATTAACTTTACAACAGGAACTTTGTAGAAACATAATAAAATTGTAACATAACAATTATTTTTCTTCAGTGCCGCTTGTTATATTACTGCCGCTTGTTGATGAAGATAGGGTACGTTTTGGTTGCTTTTTCGTCTGTTTTTTATTTTATTGTTTTGCAAACCGGATGGCCCTGCTTCTATCAGATCAGCAACGCAGATGGATTGCCAGCAAGAACATAAAGTTTAAAGAAAATATAACTAGAAAAAATTCCACGCGGACCAGGCAGCAGACGGGACTTGAACCCGCACCCTTCGCAATCCGGGCGAATGTTACATGCTTTAAAATAATAAAAATTATAACTATAATTGCTATTTCTTCTTTCAAATGTTTAATACTTGTAAAAGTATTCATTTGACATTGTGGGTTACCTATAATGCGAAGAGATGGCGCTGCCTTGCAGCTTAAGAATGGCTAGAAGAATTTCGACGCGGTCCGTGAGGGCCGCGGTAGCATAATTGGTCAGTGCATTCGCCCGGATTGCGAAGGGTGCGGGTTCAAGTCCCGTCTGCTGCCTGGTCCGCGTGGAATTTTTTCTAGTTATATTTTCTTTAGATTTAAACATCAAGCAGTTACATGCTTTAAAATAATAAAAATTATAACATAAAGTTTTCTTTTTTCACCAACTTTTTTTTCAGTTCACATGAAACTAGTAGATGCATGTGAAAAGCTCGAAATTTAGAAAACAAAAACCTATAAAATCTAGAACATACGAGTAAATTATAAAGTAGCGTTAAAATATGTTAGCTCATTTAAAATACATATAATTAGTAGATTGAGGTAGTTAAGAGCGTCTTGAGATTACTAATTTACGCTAAATTTGTTTGTGTTTAGTAGGTATAGCTTTATTCTATTATTTCTAAATCTAAGGTTGACGGGTAAATTTGGCCTAAAAGACAAAGTTACCCAAAAACATGGGCTAAAGTATACCTCCGTATCTTTCCCTAAATATAAACAAGTAATTTTGTGTAAAACCTTTTGAATTTATCATCAGCGTACTCCCATAAACACGTTCAATAACGTTAATTATAGAAAAAATAGTAAACTTACCAAAAACCACAGTTTTACGAGACAGTTTGCGCATGAACTTGCGAACTATTTCAGTTACAAAAATCCCGCGTAACGATGACAGGTTGATACAGGAACGACGTCGGTAAAACAACACCACACTACGCGCCTATATGGCCATCTGTGATTTTCAACTGAAACTATTACGCTCACCCAAGAGATACTGATGTGGCGGCAAGTTCAAACTTTTTTTTGATTTGGGTCAAAGTTACCCGCCCGAGCTAAAGTAACCCTCAATTGCGGTACTTAAAAAAGTTTTCTTACCATCTGTCCTAGCGAACTTCGTACCGCCATTAAATAATAGGGGCTGTGAAAATTTGGGGATGTACCTATGTATTTTTATACGATGTAGCTAAATGTACCTATCATAAAAAATAAAAACAAAAAAAAATGTCCAATAATAAAAAAATTAAAGGTTGAACACCCTTAACAGTAAGAGGGATGAAAAATAGATGTGGACCTATTCTCAGACCTATTGAATATGCATATAAAATTTCACGAAAGTCATTCGAGCCGTTTTGGATGCACACCATGACACGAGAATAGGCTAGTTTACTCATGTCAAATTGTATTAAATAAATGTTTATTTCTTAAAGTATTTAGTCTAAGGAACCTTAATATATCGATTTCACTTCATAAAAGCAGAAGATTGCTGTAGAAATTTAATTTTAAAAAATATTTTTTAGTCTATATTTTTTAAACACTAAAAACGCTGTTCGCCACACCCGCCATGATTTTGACGTCTCTTCTGGTAAACAACTAAATGTCATTCGCGTGTTACTGTAGGTGGATTCTTTCGTCTGACTAAATTTATCATAAAACACTTTTAACTTTAGGAAAGAAAAAAACAGTAAACTTAGTTTTTTTTTGACAAAACTAATTATGGATGCCGGCTTTGTGAAAGCAGAAAGCACAAATCTGCCAAGAATTGACGCATTGATGGTTGGTGAATTTGTTGCACTAAACCTCGATTTCTGCTCTGCGGAGCAGAGAAACGACAAGGCATCTATGTAAGTACAGTGCATTTAGTATTACAATGTAGTAATAAACATAAAACTGATACAACATATGAATAAGTGTAATAAAGTTGCGTAGGTTAATTTCTTTCGACAACTTTCCTGGAGTCTTCAAGGATGTGTTTTTATATTCTCGTACAATACAGTAATGATAATTACTTTATTTTTCGTGGTATTTATTAGAAATCATGTTTTTGTTTATTATAAACTCAGTTAAAAGTAATTTTCTACGTGTTTACGAGTTTTTGTTTACGACAGTTCACGTCATAGCATAGATAATCTATAGACTAAAATGGCCGACAGCGTTTTTGTATGTCCATGAAAAGTCTATTTTAAAATTAAAGATTTGTAGCTTTCTAGGTTTAAAAAAAATGCAATACATTTTTTTTCGGTCTAATAGAACATTAATTAACCATTTAAAACCTTTTTCCAAAAAGGGTCAACTAGCCTATTTTATATATTAAATCATACTATTTATATTTACTGCTTTTAATGTGAGGAGAATATGAGGATAGGAGAAAGCCGCCTTGGGCGAAAAAACTACCTTAATAAGCTACCGTAACAACTGGTACAGTGCCTGGCACACTAGGTTTAGAGAATCATGCCAGAATCGATACCAATATTGTCGTACAGTTTGTCTATAAAGTCGTGACATTAAATGATGGCGCCACCACTAGTATACATGTAGCAACCCTATACAGTCTGACCAAAATGATTTTGATACTAGCAGTTCATTCAAGTAAAATAGGTTATTAATAAGACACACTATACAGTCGTATTTTGTTTCTGTTTTATATATAGTAGGTACCTATGCTTATAAAAAGTTTAGCCAAGCATATTTAATTGAATCAGAATAAAATTATTATAGATAAAATAGTACTTTATAGTGTAAAAGTGTGTAATGTTGGTGATTACCGCTGAGGTGCCATTGAGACCCGTTAGGTAATCATCAATACACACAAGTATCATCATACGACGTTTTTTAACACACTTATTAAGAAAATAATACTAAAAATCATTTTATAGTATATAAAAAGTTTATATAAAGAATTTGTAAATGTGCAGTTACTAAAATTAGTGATAGGTATCTTCACTAAAAGCATCTGGCCATGGTTCTTTATGTGACCATTTCTTTTTTGGTCGCCCTTGCCTGTTTTCCCAGGAGTTTCAAACTTTCCATCATTCTTAAAATCTTCGTTGACTATCCGACTCTGTGATTTTATTGAAAAAAAAAAATGTAACGGATTAGAAACAATAACTTATTGACATGAAGCAATCAATTCAAAATTGGTAGAAAACCTGACCGAGTTTAACCATAATAACGTATCAAAAGAAATGGTCGCACTACAATATTACCTATTTACATTGTCAATCTAAGCTAACCTAAAAATGTGCAATGTAAACAATGCCTTTTTTGGTCTCAAAATCGTAAATTGAGTAAATTTGTAACTTCAGGCAGATAACAAACAAATAGACGATTACATACCCGTCATAGATGCTGTTCGCCCATAAACATCATCCAAATCCCACAAAATTCGTCCAGCTTGGTAGTCTTCGAAACATCGCTGGAAAACTTTAAAAATCACTTCCCGCGTACCACTCCGATTTACTTTACTCATTTTTATACCTTTCTGCGCAGTTTCGTTTTAATTTATTACAGTTTAATCCAAACAATAAAAAATACACAAGGAAAACTGTTCCACAACTGGAACTCGATGACAGCCCGATGTACATAAGTTTGGTGTTGCCAGACACATGAATAATGTTAGTTTCTCAAACATTCATGTCATGACTTTATAGACAAACTGTAGTTTTGGCAATGATGTGGAGCCCGCTTAATGACTATATAATCACAAGTCTCAATGCTTATAGGGTACGGGTACGGCCAAAGTGCACTCAGATTCAGATTCAGATTCCGAAAACAAGCGCGAGAAATAAACAGTGTAGTTAAAGCAGGTTGCCTGCTGCCACTATGGCCACCCTGCTTTAACTACACTGTTTATTTCTCGCGCTTGTTTTCTGAGTCTGAATCTGAATCTGAATCTGAGTGCACTCTGGCCGTACCCATAGAGAAAATAAATGTTCTGACATTCAAGTTCCTGGGTACGGGTACGACCCGTACCCTATAAGCATTGAGACTTGTGATTATATAGTCATTAAGCGGGCTCCACATCATTGCCAAAACTACAGTTTGTCTATAAAGTCGTGACATGAATGTTTGAGGAACTAACATTATTCATGTGTCTGGCAACACCAAACTTATGTACATCAGCTGTCATCGAGTTCCAGTTGTGGAACAGTTTTCCTTGTGTATTTTTTATTATAATAATAATAATAATAATAACTTTATTTATTTTTCTCCAACAATCTACATGTTACATCTTATAATTAAAAACAATATTTGGATATTTCATAAGATTGCGAGAGACTGGTACCTGAACTAAGCGAAAGCTTGTATCTCAGTGCACCAGTACCCTCCCCTTCGTAAGGTGACCGTTTTATCTTATCTTAACAAAGTAAGTTTCTACATATAAAAATACCTGTAGGAGAATATATAATATACCACATATATCCAAATAACGACTTCATTTACAATGATCGGTACTAGAGCCAATATAAATTTGTATTAAGTTAATTACAAAGCACATTTTTATGGAAGAAGCAAAGAGTTATACGTTGTCACAGTTAGTATAATGGATTTTCAAAACCACTACTAGAAAAGAACACTACGCAAAAACACGATTTAAACCTAAGTCACATACCATCATACAATTAACTTATATGCACTTGCCCGCAGATTGTTACTTTACAGCTTCAAAATCAGACAGGTGTATTGACTTGATGAAGTGATAAAATAAAACTAACAACTATCGTAGGATATTTTATAGTGTGTGCAATATTGTGTTTTCTACCCAGACATTTACAAACCTCCAGAAACGCTCCGAATAATTTAAGTATTACTTAATAAGTTTGTTATTACAGGATTGAGACATAACTATCTGATCGGGAGTAGTAGTTTTTCGGTATCATCATAGTTAATTTTTTGCAAGAAGGATGTTACTGAGAGTTTACAATGATATCTATCAAGAGCGAAAATATTGAGTTTCTTTTGAAGTCTATTATACAGAAAAGGCCCTAAGAAACAGAAAAATCGACGTGGATAATATGTTTTAAATGACAACGAGCGTACAATTAGATGATTACGACGGGACTGAGTGGTAGGGGAGAGATAATCAATAGCACGATGCTGCTTAAGAATGGTGTACAAGATAAAAAGCTGGCGTACTGACAATAGCTCACAATATTGAAAGAGAACATGGGTAGGAAAACGGTAGGGAAGGAATGTGCATACCTTAAGGAGGGCTCTTTGAGCTCTTTCCAGTCTAATCATATTGGTTTTCGCAGAACCGCCCCAAGAGGTGATACAATATATCAGGAGAGACTGGCAGATAGAAATATACACCCTCCTAATTATGCATGGGTCAGCAACAACGCGAAGTTTTTTAAATACGTACATTAATTTCCGGATTCTATCCGCTGTAAGATTAATATGAGCCTGGAATGAAAGTCTGTCATCGATAAGTACACCCAGATATTTAACTGTCTCAGATTTATTTAGGTTTGGACATATACAGGCCAATTTATCCATAGTTCCATGATTTGAACAGGAATGAGCAACAATTGAGAAATTGCTTCTGGGTTTAATGGTTGGTTTTTTGATTGAAAAAGGCATATATTGCGTTTTTTGGACATTAAGGGTAAGTCGGTTTGATTGTAGCCAGCAGGAAACAAGATCGAATCCAACTTGAGCTACTTGATAGGTTTCCTCCCAGTTATCAGCTGAAAATATAAGGGCAGTATCGTCTGCAAAGGAGACGATCTTACAGTTTGGGATGTTGAGAGAACAGAGCTCATCGATATAAACTAAAAACAGGGAGGGGCCTAGGATGCTACCTTGAGGGACACCATATTCTATGTGGAGGTCGGAACTAGTTGTACCATCTATTTTCACCATCTGTCTTCGATCCGTAAGGTAGCTTTCGAAAAGTTTCAGTTGATTCCCTCTTACTCCCAAGAATTCTAGTTTTCTCAATAAGAGGGGAATGGAAACCGTATCGAATGCCTTAGCAAAATCGAGTAGGATAGCTAAGCATTTCTGTCCCCGGTCAAGGCTTTCAATTACAGTGTTTGTAAAATCGTGGACAGCATCTGCTGTGGATTTCCCGGAACGGAAACCATACTGCCTGGAGGAAAGAGCCGAAGTGGTTTCTAGGAAACTCTTGAGACGCGAATTAATAATCCGTTCAAGTATCTTAGAGAGTGATGGTAGGATTGAGATTGGGCGGTAGTTATTTGTGCAAGACCGATCCCCAGACTTGAAGATCGGATGCACTATTGCCCTCTTGAAAGCAGTCGGGAAAACACCAGCATTCATACTGATGTTACATATGTGGGTGATTATGGGTACAAGTATCAGTTTGTAGTGTTTTAATAAGGCAGTGGGTATGTCATCCCAACCCACAGCACAATCCCGTTTTAGCGAACCAATAATAGATTCCACCTCAGCGTCGTTGGTTTCCAATAAGACAAGGGAATCTAGTCTAGGGGATTTGTGTGTTAGTACTTTGGAATAAGTGGGCGCTGTTGGAGTAAGGTTCTCAGCAAGCGTCTTTCCAATGCTCACGAAGAAAGAATTAACTGTATCCACTGATTCTTTTGGGGTGGGCTTAATACTTAAAAGGTCAGTTGCAGAAGATTTCGTTTTGTTCATATCTGTTATTTCTTTAATCGCATTCCACAACATTTTAGAATTCTTGCCTGCTTTATCTATACGATCTCTGTCATATTCTCTTTTGACTTTTTTTAATAAAGTATTACAGTAGTTACGATATCGAACGTAAGTAACCCTCAATGCATCGTTTTGTGGACTATTTTTAAGTTTTTTGTGCAAGCTGTCCCTGTTTCTAACGCACCTTAAAAGACCAGGGGTTATCCAAGGTTTAATAAGTTTGCGTCGCCTTGAGAAAGACAGAAAAGCAGAATTTTCTAGGATGGCAGTTTGCAACATATCGATGAATGAGTTAGTAGCCAAATTGGGGTCTGTAATCTTGAGTATAGGGGTAAAATCAATGGCCTCCATCCGTTTCGTAAGAGACTGATAATTTATTATTTTTGTCTTAGTAGGAGGAGTAGCTTGTCTGGCCATATGAATGGCAAGCAACACAGCTTCATGGTCAGTAACAGAAGAATGAATAACGAGGGTTTGTGCAGGGTGGGTGCTCTTCATGATGACATGATCAAGACATGCTTGGTTACGAGTAGGTAAATAATGAGCTGGTAAAAGACCGTGATGTGCCAAAGTATTTAAATATTCGTCAGCGTTTGGATCTAAGAAAGTGGAGTTTATGTTAATATTTATGTCAGCCATCAATATCACATTCCTATAATTATTTAGTGGAGCCAAAATATTGTTAAGAGATGTTATAAAGTTCTGAGGATTACGAAAACCACAAGGACGATAGACGGCTAACAAAATAGTATCTTTGTTTATTTTTAAGAATAAACAGCTTGCCTCTGAGATGCTGGGTTCAGTGATGCTGATTCCAGGTAATTTGTTACTAATGTAAACTATTACTCCGTCGTTTTGATTCAGAGGGTTGGTGGATGCGTATGAATTATATCCGGGTAGGCTAGGAATTACAGGTGTCTTTTGCAACCAACATTCTGTAAGTATTAATATGTCAATTTCGACTTTTATGCGATGCAGTAGAGTGGTAAAACTAGTTAAGTTAGCGGATATGCTTCGTACATTTTGTGTCAGTATCTTGATCGAGTTACAATTTTTTGACATAATCGAGTGTACTTCATGAGGATCACAATCATGCGAGGAGCTAACAGATACGCTATCAATTTTATTAATAAGGTCTGTATCACAGTTGAATTTTAATGTAAAAGGTCACTAGTACATCAAGGAGACATAGCAGGGCGCATAAATAATGTCCTATTTCACACAATATTTTTATTACATAAAGGTAGAACTGTGTTAGAAAAACAGTCATTACGTCATTGTGGACAGAAAAAGCATGACAAGGCAAAGTGAGTATAAAGTAGAATTTGTTTTTTGATCCATAGCATGAATTATGCATGAATTTATGCATTAAAAAAAATGGTTGCCTGTAAAGTCGGTTTTACGGGCGAAGATTTTACGTGACAACGTCTTTTTCTCGGTAGAATATTTATTGATATGAATATAATTAAATTGCACAATAGGAACAAGGAATTGAATGAAAATAAGAATTGCACAAATTTTAACTATAGAAATATATTTTGTTTACTAAAACATTGTACATGTAAACTTAAACTTAACACGAGAGACTCATCGTAACGTTACCGAGCGTTACACTTTTTCATAAGTGACTCCCAGCCGCAACCTAATTTAAGACGTTGTCACGTCAAAAATACAAATGGAAGCATGCAAAACATTTGGTATAACGGGTAACAGGGTACAAGGTACAGATTTACTATATTATATTCCATATTATTTCTGTTATTTAGATACATAATGTAGATATTGTGGTATTTTGTAGTATAATTCATTTTAATATAAATATAAGTACAAGTATAATAAAGAAAAAAAATAAGAAAAAAACGTTATTAGAGATAACAATGCACTAATTAAATGCGTTGAAATATAATTTAGTTTTTTGACTTGATCTCCAGAAGTTGTAATTCGGATGAAACAACAATAAGCTTGGCGTTGTCTTCTTTTCTCCAGAGAACCCTCCCGTAAGCTGTCCAACAGTGCTTGAAACTTTCTGCCTTAGCAAATTCTCTAGCTGCATGAAAAAGTTTGCGTGTTCGAGATGTCAAATGTTCGGCAATGTAGATTTTCCGGGGCGGATCCTCCATCAGTATTGTTGTATTTAGTTTACTGTTTGACTGACGATTATACTCCTTGTAAGCTTTTAAAATGTAATTTTTCGTGATTATCGAATTAAGAGTAACTAATATGGTTTTATTTTCCGATTTAGAAGGTAGTACCCGAATATCATATAAGTCCGAGTGCACTATCTCCACAGAAAGTTCTTTAAACACACGGGATGTTATGTCAATGAGTTCCTCCTGGGTCATTCGTTGTTTTAATGATAAGTTTCTGATTTCCAGGGTACTTAAACGAGTGGTTCTGTCAATATCATCTAAATTGTATTCAATTTTTGACAGACGCTCGTCAAACTCCTTTGATTTAGTTTGATAATCATTTAATTTTATATTCAGATCATCGTATTTTTGTGATAAAAAATCAATAGACCTTTCAATTTCCGCGTTCGAGGCGAGCAATTCTCCATTTTGTTTTTTAATTTCATACATGCAAGACTGTATATTAGAGAGCTTTTCATCAGTATCCTGCCTCCAAGCGGTCAGAGTATTGATAAATGAGTCAAGTTTCGATTCACACTCAGCCTCACAATCACAACGACGTCTTTTGTTTGATCTTAATATGTTATTATATTCATTAGGGCTCGTTGAGTCCGTATTTTGTTGCAGGTCTGGGGCAGAGCCATACTGCGGTTGCTGTGATTTAACCGGAGTGCGCATCATTTAGCCTTTAATAATATAAATACAACTTCACCGACAGTGAGTAGCCACTGAGTAATGTTTGACTGCGTGAGGTGCGGTTATTAGCGCAAAAAACTACGCTCCTCCCTTTATTATCTCGCCACTGCACTCCTCCTCCTTAAAATCTGCTCTTGAGCACTAGGGCGTGGCCACTCGTCAACTAATCAGTGTTCAATGTCGGTGCGGAAGGTGAAACGGGTGATGAACGACGTTACACAATATAGTGGTATTACTCACATGCAGTGCGCTGTCCTTTTTTAATTATACTTGTTGCGCTCCGCGCACTACTGTTAACCTGGTACGCGCACTTCACTTAATACAATAAAATGAATTTTATAAAAATATTTATGTAAAAATATGTTTACGGAGGATCTTTAAACACGTCTGTACGGTCAGACATCCAAAGAGGAAGGATTTATTGTTTGGATTAAACTGTAATAAATTAAACTGAGTGCACTCTGGCCGTACCCTATGGGTACAGTGTAGTCGAAGGGTACGGCCAGAGTGCACTCAGATTCGGATTCAGATTCCGAAAACAAGCGCGAGAAATAAACAGTCTAGTCTAAGCAGGTTGCCTGCTTTTTCTCGCGCTTTGTTTTCTGAGTCTGAATCTACCCATAGGGTGCGGCCAGAGTGCACTCAGATTCAGATTCAGATTTCGAAAACAAGCGCGAGAAATAAACACTGTAATCGAAGGGTACGGCCAGAGTGCACTCCTGATTCCGATTCAGATTCAGACTCAGAAAACAAAGCGCGAGAAAAAGCAGGCAACCTGCTTAGACTACACTGTTTATTTCTCGCGCTTGTTTTCAGAATCTGAATCTGAGTGCACTCTGGCCGCACCCATAGGGTACGGCCAGAGTGCACTCAGTTTAATTTATTACAAGCGCGAGAAATAAACAGTGTAGTCGAAGGGTACGGCCAGAGTGCACTCCTGATTCAGATTCAGACTCACAACCTGCTTAGACTACACTGTTTATTTCTCGCGCTTATTTTCGGAATCTGAATCTGAATCTGAGTGCACTCTGGCCGCACCCTTAGGGTAGATTCAGACTCAGAAAACAAAGCGCGAGAAACCCTTAGGCACCCTTAGGGTGCGGCCAGAGTGCACTCAGATTCAGATTCAGATTAAGATTCCGAAAACAAGCGCGATAAATAAACAGTGTAGTCTAAGCAGGTTGCCTGCTTTTTCTCGCGCTTTGTTTTCTGAGTCTGAATCTGAATCTGAATCAGGAGTGCACTCTGGCCGTACCCTTCGACTACACTGTTTATTTCTCGCGCTTGTTTTCGGAATCTAAATCTGAATCTGAATCTGAGTGCCCTTAATCCAATGATGCCAGATTGAAGTATTAATCCGCTATATTGGCGGAAAATATTGGTCTTGGCGAAATTTTGGCGTAATAGTTGACGGAAATAAATTGAAGTTGGCAATTTTCTGGCGAAGAGGATAGTACAAGAAAGAGGGATGGAGAAGTCTCAAAATGGAATTTCATAATATGTGACATAATTGCCAAAATACATAATGTTGCCAAACTTACTATTATACAGGGCGTCCCACGGCTACCTCATATGGTGGGAAAGTATATTAAATATTAAAGATAGGATATTTTACTGAAAGAAGACATCATTTCATTTTTAATAATAACTAGAACTGCATTCACAGATTTTTTTAAAATCGACTACTACAACTGGGAATCAAACTCGTGAAATTTAAAAAAATATAGAAATATATTTTATGATAACCAAAAATAATCTTTATGATAAACCCTTTATCATAAAGATTATTTTTTTAATAAATAACATAGCATTTTAAATGAAAGGAATGCCTTATTACGTGATAAAAATAATAAAGTGATATACAAACTGTAGTAACTCAGTTAGAATGCGATTGGCTGAAATTTGTAAAAATAATAATTCGAAAATGGAACACATACATTTTCAAGCGTCTGTACCCCTAGCACGAACCATTATTGAATTCGAATGAAATGTCAATGTCAAATTTTGTATGGAAACTTATTCGGCAACGCCACAAAGTACGTAACGAGAACTAAAATCAGTACACATTTGACAATGACATTTCGCTAAGGGTACTGTTCTTTTTTTGTGTTTTTCATTTAAGTTAAAAACCGGGTTCTCTTAATACATTTTTACAAAGGGAATCTAAATACGGAAAGATATCTAGAAATACTTAATATTTTAAGAGGTGAGATCAATAATCTTCCTGATGCAAATCGACGAAATCTCATTTTCCAGCAAAACTGAACTGCTATAATAGCTATCTTCGCGTCTGGACTTCACCTTCACTTACATCAGGTACATTTGTCGGACCTATCTATAAAAAAAATGGGTGCGTGTACTTATGTAGGCGCGTGAGAAGTTATCCTTCTTTGGCATCGTTTAAAATTGCAGGCAAATAATTAATTACAATAAATTAATAAAAAGTCTGGAAAAGGACGAAGTCAATAAAGTTCAGTTTTAATTTGAAAAAATAAATAAATAATCAAAATATTCAATTAAAATCGCTACTGAATATAATTTATTAGAACATATGTGATTTGCACTTGTATGAAACTCAAACACGTATTCCGAATATACAAACTAGAAACATGTGGATAAATATTATAAATATGAATACCTATAACTGTTACTTTATTACAAAAAATAAAGATGTGGTTTTTGGTTCTACTACACCAATGGTCAAGAGATGGCGCTGTAGTCTTCTGAATCGCGCTTTGGTTCCGTTGTTCCAGATTAATAAATACTTTTGATATTATAAATATGAATACATAAAACTGTTACTTTATTACAAAAAATAAAGATGTGGTTTTTGGTTCTACTACACCAATGGTCAAGAGATGGCGCTGTAGTCTCCTGAATCGCGCTTTGGTTCCGTTGTTCCAGATTAATAAATACTTTTGATAGGCCTTCACAATGCACTCGTTAGCGCCCACTAAATAGAGATTCTATTTCTATTTTGTTGGTAGATTTTCTTAATGTGCGGTAAACACAAAAGTAACGCATGAAGTTGGTCGCTAAAGCGACCAACTTCATGCTGTTAAAATTTTGTGTTACAGTGATGCGCGCGCATCTTAAAATTTCACTCATCATTTTTTCATAACGCGGCTAAAGAAGTATAACTTCAAAAATAGGGCTCATAACAGTAGGAGATCTGCCGAGTTTCTTAATGAACACTTTCCTTCCTGGGTCGGGACAAATAAGATGGCCAGCGAGATCCCCAGATCTAACCCCACTGGACTTTTTTTGTGGGGTTATATAAAAGATGTAGTAGGTATAGAAGAACTGGTAAGACAGTGTGCAGGAGTTACAATATTAACTCAGACGTATTATTACAAACATTCACCAAGCTTAATAATGAAATCGACAGACAGAGAAAACATTAATAGAGTGAGAATTTGCACACAACAAATCGGATCACATTTTGAACAGTTGATACATTAAATTATTATTGACGTGACAACGTCTTAAATTAGGTTGCGGCTGGGAGTCACTTATGAAAAAGTGTAACGCTCGGTAACGTTACGATGAGTCTCTCGTGTTAAGTTTAAGTTTACGTGTACAATGGGCCCAATTCTGGCGTGCCAACTTATATCTAAAACTAACTAAAATTAGATATAGAGTTGTCAAATTCAATTTGGTATTCTGTAATGACACACTATCTCTAAATTTAAAATTGACGTCGCTAAGTTATTCAACTTAGATTTAGATGATAAAATGGTATTCTGAAACGTGTTCTAAATGTCATATTTTCTCTAAAATTAGAAATGTCACACTAAATTTAAGAAGGACCTACGGAGGTCCTCTCTAAATTTAAATGTGTATAATCTGGCCAAATAGTAGGTAAATGATTGATGTACTTAAGTTTTGAACTTGTTGTTAAGGTTGGTTATGGGTTTATTTCGTTAAAATAAGCCATAAATTTTATACAATAATGAACGACGACGGTGATAATAATACCTATATTAGCTAGATCTTTTATTTTTTTTAAAAGGTAGATAAGTCTATTTTACGATGCGGATTTATTATGAGCCTATTAATGTGTCATGAGCCACCACGCAGGCCTAATGCGGCTTAGTGGGGGCTAATGACTGCAGATGCAGCGAGCAACAACATAGAAACTCGATTTAATACATTTTTGGTTGGTCACCCATCCTAAGATCGGCCATTGTGGAAGTTACTTAACGTTCACGATCGCAGAACGAACGCGTTACACTTGCGCTATTGTGGTCCTTCGTAGGTAATGTATACGTATATCTTGTATAAAACACTAAATAATTTAAGGTAAAATCTTTTTTAACATAAATAAAAATCCACTTCATAGGTATAATATAAAAAACAAGCTAAAAAGGTAAGACATCTATGTGCTAATTCCTTAAGTAATACCTACAGTCCCCACTCATATCTAAAGTACATAGTCAAATAATTAACAAATAATAGGTACCTATGGTGTCAGCGATATGCATTCCAATCACCAATTCCAATCCAAATGTTATTTTGACTTTAAATGTAGGTACTTTAAACTTTAATGTATTTTGTTCCTTTGTTTTCAGTGGTTTAGTTTTTATGAAGCCATTTTTAATATTTGTTGGAAATGTTTTTATTTCCCACTTTTTATAAGCTAATTATAACCTAAGACGAAATAAGTTCCTACGGTTTGTTTGCTTTTATACATCCGAAAGTACTTGGCATTCACCAAATGATTAATTGGGATTTGGGACGATATCGCCAAAACTGATAGAAACAAAAAAAGATAAAAATAGGTTACGTTTCGTTACATCTCGGATTCTAAAATAAATGAGTACAAAATCTTCACAAAACAGCCGAAGGGATAATAACAACCTCTGACCGAAACCGAAATTTATAACCGTAGGTTCCTAGGAAATTTTCAAGGATGATATACGTTAGACCGTGTCGGCCGTAGCAGAGTTAACTAATCATCATCATCAGGCTATTAATGTCTCCATTGCTGGGGCACAGGCCTTCCCTATGAATGGAATAGGGAGATTGGGCCATGACCCACCACGCGGGTCCAGTGCGGATTGACGGGTGCTAACGACTGCAGATGCAGCCGGGACCAACGGCTTAACATGCCTTCAGAAGTACGGAGAAACTCCAGATAGAAGATTTTTGGTCACCCATCCAATGACCGACAACTGCAAAAGTTGCTTAACTTCAACCTGCGCCATCGAGCTCCTCTAGTTAACTAATATTAAATAATATATTTTTTATGGATTATAGATACATTCAAGCTATTCCGTGCGGTAACCCACTGACAACCAAGCACCAAATGAAACGCTCCAACGCTCGGAAAAAACTTGGTCCCGCTTCGGCTCGGCCACGGCCCGTTGCATGAATACAGCGCGCCGGCGCGGTGCCGCCGGCCAATCGTAGTGATACCTCAGACAAAACAGAAACGTTTTCCTCGGACGAGTACACTTACCCTGTTTACTTTATCTGAATGATTAGACTGTATCACGGCGCAACGGTACCTACCTAATTGCTCGGTCGAGGCACGTCTTTGTAATTTACAGGTACGGGACCGTCTCGGTGACCGTGTTACGGCTGAAGCTCGGCTCGGACTCGACACGGTTAGGGACACGAAAATAGTATCGATACTTTGTGGCATCGAGTACTTTTCCTTTCGATACCGATACTTTTGTACTCGATACTTGGTTTTCGATACTTCAACTAAATAACTAAACTAAAAAAAGTATCGATACCTTTAAAATTTTGGATAAGCGCCTTATATTGATGGCAACGCCATCTAGTGGAATCATGGCAAACCTTCTAAAACATTCGATTGCGTTGATATAATTGGAAGCAGAAGCAATCTAGTGTGTCCTGAGACTTACGTACTTGAGTAATTCACGTTTAGTTTTGCAGTTGATTATATTAACATTACACGTTTTTAAGAGTATCTACATTGCTTATAAGGTCCTATGAAATGTACTCGATACTTTGAAGTATCCATACTTTTGTTTCAATACTTTTACGAGTACGATACTTTTTTTCCGATACTACTCATGAGTACAGTATCGATACTTTCTATTCGATATCGTGTCCCTAGACACGGTCTATCGTCACTGATCATCCTTAATAGATTTGTTAGGTAGCTACCAAAATCTAGTCGGTACCTATATTTAAATTTAATTTTAAAAGTGGCGGCTTTCCCCATCCTTTTGCCAAAAAAAACTTAGGCATGCTCTAAGAAAAAATATGATTCCTAAAGTTCTCCCCGCAGATTTAATTTTTCCAAGTTTATATTTTTCACCAAAACAAGGATAAACACTCCCAATCTAGAAACCCTAAGTACCACAGAGTAGGCAAGTATTCACTCTTTAATATTGATTCATAATATCTCATACAGTAAAATAACAAACTTATGTTAAGTTTTCATATTTCAAAGATGATGAAGAACAACAAAGAATTACTGAAATAAGTCAAAATCACTGAATAATAAGTATTTATTGCTAATTTGAGTGAACCGATAATTACCGGTTCAATGCTTTTACCTAATCTGTGAATTCAATTTAGATGTTCGTTTTCAGCTGTCCACTTGTGATCTTAATTTAGTTAGTTCGCAATTTCAGAATACCAATTCACTAAACCTAAACTAAAATTAGCTCTCTAATTTTAAGTTTAGGTTTAGAGAAAGTAACGCCAGAATTGGTCCCAATGTTTTAGTAAACAAAATATATTTCTATAGTTAAAATTTGTGCAATTCTTATTTTCATTCAATTCCTTGTTCCTATTGTGCAATTTAATTATATTCATATCAATAAATATTCTACCGAGAAAAAGACGTTGTCACGTAAAATCTTCGCCCGTAAAACCGACTTTACAGGCAACCATTTTTTTTTTTCTTGCACCGTTTCGTTTATTATTACTTTTTGTTGAATATTTTTTAAATAAAACGTGTAATTTTATGACTTTTCTTTCATTTAAAATACTATGTTATTTAGTAAAAAATAATTGTTATAATTAACTCTTACGATGGCTATCTTAAAACATGTCGTGTTTTTTTTTCGAAATTTCACGAGTCTGATTCTCCGTTATAGCAGTCGATTTTAAAAAAATCTGTGAATGCAGTTCTATTTATAATTAAAAATAAAATGATGTTTTCTTTCGGTAAAATATCCTATCTTCAATATTTACTATACTTTCCCTCCGTGTGAGGTACCCGTGGGACGCCCTGTGTAGTTAAGCCTTCTTTTTGTGTTTATACAGGCAAACCAGCTGGTAGTCTACCTAATAATAAGTGGTCAATACCGCCCATGGACACTTGCAACACCAAGGGTACTAAACATGCGTAGCCGGCTCTGAAGGAAAAATAACATTCGTCCATGTTTACGAGTCACTCGTTTATGATCATGAGTATAATCGTAGCGAAATCCTGTGTCCATGCCCACGCTTCTTCATACAGTGTCTACCCTATATATATTCATCTTCCATTTTTACTATACTGGGAATTCCGTGGACCTTAGGTGAAACAAAAATATACATAACGTTGTCTAATAAACATTCAAAGCTAAACAATAAAACACTGTATAGTATTGCGTGAACGAGAATCTTTGGTGGCATGATGGCGCGTGAACTTCAATAAGCATGAATTATTAAAAAAATAGTCACACCAATTTTTCTTTAGTATCGTATAGTATTAAAAGTAAATTAGAAAATCACTTCTGGTGACCCTGGCATCAGTGCTCCTATTTTAGCGCTTTGGGCGCTAGAATTAGCGCTATCCTGGAGTGGTTAGCTCCTATGAAAAAAAATAGTGCCTATCGGATAATCTGGCGCTTTTTCATTTAAGTAACAGTCTATTACCGATAAATTGTATACTTCGGGAAGCCCCTCTATTATTTTTTTTATGGCAGAACTACATTTGTTTGTCATCTTGTGTTGCGACGCATCAGAGAGGTATCGGTTTCATATAAATATTTAGTACGGTTAGAACTAGACTTGTGTTTCGCGATGTGCCGACACCACTAGCATCACTATATAATATATAATATACGGTTAGACCACAAAATAATATTTTGCGGTCGAAACCGCTCTCACTCGTACCTTTAACCGTACCTACTACTAAATGTATGAACCGATATATCTCTCGTCACCACAACACAACAAGTAGTATTATTTCTGACATTAGTTAGTGGTTTTCTTTTCATTCATTCATGTTCAAAATTTATTTTGACGCTTTGGTTGATTTTTGTCTATTTTATAAATAATACAAAAATGAAATTAATTTAGCGCATAATCTAGCGCTTTTTTAAAACGCGTTTTTCTTAAAATCTAGCGCCTATTATATAATTTTACCGCTTAATCGGATTTTTGATCTGGCAGCATTGCCTGTACTAATATAAAAAAAAGAAAATCCGTCATGTTTCTTTTGCTGTTTTGCGTCCGCGTCATTAAAGTCTACCATAAAAATAACTTTTAATATTGTAGTCCGCAGACAAAAATAGCCATAATTTTTAATTAAACAATGGCTGATAGTGATGACGAATATGATCGAAAACGGCGCGACAAATTTCGTGGTGAAAGGGGTGCTGCAGAAGGAAGTAGCTATCGAAGTAGTGATCGTCGTGAAGAAAGAAGTCGCGGCCGTGACGATTGGTCAGAGAGGTAAGGTTCATCACATCGTGAGTGAAGACGCAATGTAACTAATCCTATATTACCCTTCTACCTACCTACAAATATTGATGCATTTAAAATATTTCAGATCCCAACCTCAATCCTTGGAACCTAAAATTCCTTTCCACATCACCAAACCTACAAAACGTACAGTAGCAAGTATCATAAGGTAGATAAAAAAAATGATTTTAATTCCATTAAAATAAGTTGTTTAATTAAATATGGATATTTAAATAGCAGTCCTATGTACATAACATAATTTATCTAATTTAATCCTGTAAACAAAAATTATATATTGTCATGTCGATGACATTGTTCAAATGCCTCGTAACTAACAAAACACAAATTTTACCGGTGAGTTTTTTTTTTTAAATTAATTACTTAATGATAATGTGTAGTACTGTAATTTATATATAATTGGATCGTAAAATTGATCTTGGTATTGATTTTACATATAGACTAGCAGTTCACAAGTTAGTACCAATTAGGAGTTATTGATTTCAAAAATGTCCATGTGAATATAATTAATAAAATGGAATAAGAGTGCTTTATTAAATGAAAGACATGAGTAAATAATGCAGTGATCATTATTAGATTAATATTACAGTCAGTTTTCTGGCAGCAGTAGTCATAGTAGAAAAGATATATTGGTAGCAAAAGTTTAGAAAAAGTAACTTAGGAGATATCTGTTTAAACAAGTTAAAATAAATCAGCAGCATTAAGCTTGAATTCAGAATTTTGTAGGTATTTGCAATTTAACAATTATTTTCTTTATTATGTAATTAAGTAAGAATTATTTTATTGGCTACTTGGTAAGTGATATACCTTCAAAGCAGATAGTTGCTCTTCCTCACGTTTGACAGATTCCTCTGGATGATACTTGATCTTGAACCTAGGAAATAATATGATTCATTCATTATAGATTGTCCGCACATACTGCAATTATCTAGTTACTAAAACTAAATCTCAAAATACATTAATCATTTTCTATATAAAAATTAGAATAAATCCATTCAAGGATATATAACTACAACATTTACGATATTCAATACCATTTCATCATTTTTATATGGTATGTAATGTCCAGTTTTTTTCTATATTCAACATTTCATTCAGAATGATTTTAAATTATTTGAGTATAATAAATGAGAATTCATGTTCAATATGTCAATTTGCAACATATACATATACATTTTGTTAAAATTTGCACCATGTAGGTGCAAATTTTAAAATATTTGCTAAATTTGAATTCTAAGTTGAGTGGCATAGATAACTTATTTTGACCCTGATTGTCAGACAGGAGGTATTTGAACATTTTGGTCGATATGCTAGAATAAAATCATGTAATTGTTCATACAACATCGAAGTGAAAAAAAACGTAAATTGTTAAAAAGAATGTAACTGCTTTTTGGCTCCCAATGATTTAACAGATTTTTTTGGTGGGCAGATCTCGAGGAGGTCGTTCTGGCCCAGACTATAGAGATTATCGTGGAGGAGCTAGTGCAAGTCGAGGATACTCTCCAGTGAGAGGCGATGGCCCACCAAGCAAGCGTATCCGTCCTGATTGGCCCGTTGAAGATCGAAGATATGGAGGCATGCCACATGATTCATATGGGTCATATGGATGGGCTCATGATCATTTTGGGCCTCATCCTGCCCATCAAGGTTATGGCCAACCTATGCCACCAGTGCCTGCTAGGTATGCTCCGTTTTTTTTGTTTTATAATAATATTTTTGTCTGATAATTCAGTAAATGACTATATACTTTTAATTTATCAGAGATGCTGTGGTACCAATGGGGCCAGCAGAAAACTCGGGAGCAATGATGTCCTTCAAGGCTTTTTTGGCTGCCCAAGATGACTCCATCACTGAGGATGATGCCATTCAGAAGTACAATGAATACAAGCTTGAATACAGGAGGCAACAATTAAATGAGTTTTTCGTTGCTCATAAAGATGAAGAATGGTGTGTATCTATTCGCCTTTATAAATCTTTTTACAAAACAGTAAAGCTCAAGTCTTTATTAAATTTAATTACCTACTTGTTTTGCCAATTTGAAGTCAAAGCTTAAGAATATTGTTTTTGTTTGTTTGTACTTTGAAAGTTAATTACTGTGATATTATTTGCTGGTATCTAAAAAATTCTAAGCATATCACAGACAATGATAAATTATATTACTAATACTTATCTATCACAAATCTCATCTTCCTATTCCTTAATGAATATGTGCTTAGAATTTTTTAAGTATCATGTGCAAATCTTAACATAACATTTTTTCCCTACAGTCTACAGCGTATCCTCGTGGAACGTATTGCTGGACAACATTGAGAAAACATTTAATGAAACTTTATAACAATAATAATGTGTGTGTAGCTAGTTAATTTCGCGTTGACCCGTAGCGCGCAATGCTACAGGTTTCGTTTCTGTTAGGGGTAGGGCTAACATATTCCACATTGAGAAGTGTGGAACAGGTGAGATTCTGAAGATTTTTCAATTATTACTAACTCATTATGTTTTTTTAGACAAAGCAATCTGTATATCAATGAATTTGTTTTTGTTCACTTGATATTACTATATTGATTGTATATGTTGCAAATTGACATATTGAACATGAATTCTCATTTATTATACTCAAATAATTTAAAATCATTCTGAATGAAACGTTGAATATAAACTGGACATTACATACCATATAAAAATGATGAAATGGTATTGAATGTCGTAAATATTGTAGTCATATATCCTTGAATGGATTTATTCTAATTTTTATATAGAAAATGATTAATGTATTTTGAGATTTAGTTTTAGTAACTAGATAATTGCAGTATGTGCGGAGAATCTATAATGAATGAATCATATTATTTCCTAGGTTCAAGATCAAGTATCATCCAGAGGAATCTGTCAAACGTAAGGAAGAGCAATTATCTGCTTTGAAGGTATATCACTAACCAAGTAGCCAATAAAATAATTCTTACTTAATTACATAATAAAGTAAATAATTGTTATATTTTTAGAACCGTTTGAATGTATTTTTGGAGCTACTAGATCATGAAGAACTAGATAAAGTCACAGTAGACATTGATAAAACTGATAAGTTGATACGTCTCCTGGACACGGTGGTAATCAAACTCGAAGGTGGTACAGAAGATGATCTAAAAGCACTGGATGATCCTCCACCACAAGAAAATGCTAATTCAAATGATAAATCAGGTAGGTATTTATTAATAGTAATGAATTTTCTGTTACAAATGTTCAGTACCCACTTATTTTACTGTTTAAATTTTTAGGTAAAACAGATTCTGATAAAACAATTGTCATTGATGTTGATGCAGTTAAAGTAAAAGAAGAGAAAGATGAATCAGAAAAAAAAGAAAAGGTCTGTAATAGGTTTAAAAATACCTTTGATTAATTGTTTAACTTGAATTGGTAGAGTGGGCTATTCCGCAATCAAATCTCCACCATTTGCATTAACACATCTGCTGATGCTTCTCCTCGATCATAACCCATGATGCATATTTATGAGACTAATAGAGTTCAATCACAGTTTATGTAGAGCTTATGGTCAAATATTTTCGTTAAGCTTATTAATTGCCATCTTCAATTTCTTATGCAATAACAATCATTAATTCTCAATGTGTCTTTAATGGTCTATCTATTAAGCAACATTGAAGAGAAAGCATTATAATCTCACATCCACTATGTTTCTGACAGTAGTAATGTCCTCTCTGATTGAACCCTTCATTCTGCACTAATGCGTTTCTACAACTAACAGTGGTCATTGGGTTTTGTTGTTATTAACACTTCTAAAAAATGTTACTTGAAAGTAACTTGGTCACCAGGATAAGAAAGCGGAATCGCCAAAGCCTACCGAGCCATTGACAATGGCGATCGATCCTCATCTGCGTCAATTGCAGGAACAAGCGAAGCTGTTTTCGCGTTTCAATTCCGAGCCGCAGCCAGAACCCGAGGAAAAGGAGCCACGTAAGTTTGTTTTTATACTTTAAAACATATCTTTCATAGAATTATAATAGCATTTTTTTACAGTAAATTCTTTGTAATATATTACCCGCATGTTGTAATTATGTCATAGTAGTTATTTAAAACAGTACCAGCAGAATTTAAATTGACTGTAACTCCTTAACATGAGGCACATGAATATTGCATTATCTGTAATGTAAATTCTGTTTAAAAAATATTTACATATTTCTGTGTGCAATGATGTCACGAAAATGGCGATAGGAGTTTAGATAAATATTATATCAATATAGGAATGCTGACGGGGTAAAGTAAATAAAATTCTATTTAGTCCGTCAGTTACATTAGCAATAAAAAATGGACATGCGCCAACACACAATCGCGAGCCGTCTTCTGGCGTGAAAACACATATGCACTCGTATCATGCGCGGACTGTATTAACCGTGTTATAGAAATGACTAAATGTGTCTAAATTTTAAAAAGTGGGCTTTGCCTTAGCAATTTTGTGTGCAATAAACTACAAAAAACAACAAAAAAAAGAGAACGTGGATGAAGCGTTGGTTAAAAGAGCGATAATTCTCAGCCATTCAAAGTTATTGGAGTTTTTGGACTTTAAGGATATTCATAACTTCCTAAGAATACGTGCGCAACCGCCGACTGCCACAGTGCAAATGTCTTTGGTTGGATGTAATCCGCCGGCCAAATAGTTGTAATCCACGCGCTCCAACCGCGGATGGAAACACGCGCCCGTAATCCAAGGACGTTGAAGGTCAAATCAAAATTTGGATTACATCCATCGTCTAGATGGATGGCAGCGGGCAAGGTCACCTTAGTTGGGACCCTGGATCACATCCGTCTAGAATAGACTTAAAAAACAGACTAAGTTAAAACTGTACCAAGCAGTGACGTCATGCGACATTTCAAATCAATATATCCCTGTAATGTTTAGTTTATGTGGAAAAAGAAAAAACACGCGTCCAATACTTCTTGATGATACTGACCTGACCTGATAGAAGAAGAAAAAAAGTTTGTCATTATCGATATTATTGAGTTGTGTGACGTACGAATTTTTTATTGAATTTCGACTTAATTTTCAGCGCCTCCTGGTTCGTCTTCTAGCTCGTCGTCTTCCAGTTCTTCCTCTTCGAGTTCGGAAGATGAGGGCGAAACTAACACTCGACGCAAGTCCAAGTCTAAATCGAAGACCCCAGAAAAGTCTCCTGAAAAGACGGAGAAAGCTGCGTCACCTATTGTTGAGAATGCAGTTGAAACAGTAGAGAATGATAAAGACAAAGAAAAGACTCCAGAAAATAAGTCGGAAACTGTCAATGACGCCGTCGCCGAGAAGAAGGAATTGCGAGCACTGCATAAAACTACATCAATATTTTTAAGGAATCTGGCACCAACTATTACTAAAGCCGAAGTTGAAGCTGTAAGAATGCATACTTCCCCAATATGTTTAGGATTTTTTCGACAAACATTTCTACAAATGTTACTTATCCATTTTCAGATGTGCAAACGATATGGTGGATTTTTGCGCGTCGCATTAGCCGATCCGTCGCCGGAGCGACGTTGGTTTCGACGCGGTTGGGTCACTTTTCGCCGTGAGGTCAACATCAAAGACATTTGTTGGAACCTAAACAACATCCGCGTAAGTTGATTTGAGAAAACAGAGTAAACAAGTGATAAAGCCGACTAATTGGCCACTTTGTAGTCAGTGACAATCGCCAAGAGAAAAAAAAATACCTCTATTTCAATCTAATTGAATATTTACTGTTAAAACATTGTTAGGAGGTACAATTGTGCTTCGAATACCTCTTTCATTGTTATATTATTATAACTACCTGCTTTTATTATTGTTTAAGAAATGATAGTAATAAAAATTGACATAGTGAAAGTCGAAATAGTGTTCGACCCTTTACTACTACATTGTCGCCCTTGAAATAACTAACCCCTTTATAAATTATAGCATTCTTTTATCGTAGCGGAAATAATTGATGTTGTTATAGTTACGCGAGTGCGAGCTGGGCGCCATAGTGAATCGCGACCTTCAGCGCCGTATCCGTCCCGTATCTGGCGTAACGTTAGAACGAGCGGTGATGCGTGCGGATGCGCGATTAGCCGCGCGACTGGCGCATTTACTCGACACGCGCACGCATCTATGGGATGTTGACGCAGACTCGCAGACAGCCAACGATAACACGAACAACTCCAACGCCTGTGAGGTAACTACACGCTGCCTTCATTGTGAAGTATGCAGCCGCGTGATTGAAGCATTTACTCAACACGCGTACGCATATATGGGATGCTGACGCAGAATTGCAGACAGCCAATGATACCACAAACAACTCCAACGCTTGTGAGGTAACTACATTATATTTATACTGTGTGACACAGCAATCAAAATGCAGGTGAACAATTAATGTATAAATTCACATTATGTAATGAAGGGTGACTTCATGAATCATCTCTGAAGTCATTTTTCTTCGTCGTCGTCATTTTTGACGACTTTGTAAATGATAAAACAGGGAGAAAAAAACAGCCCTTGCTGAGTTTCTTGCCGGTTCTTCTCAGTACAAGGTCTCCCACCGTAGATTTACGAACCAATGGCGTAGCTTCTAGACATTCATATGTGCTTGTAACAGCCTAAACTGAATAAATGATTTTGATTATGATTATTATGATTATGATTACATGCTGCCTTCATTGCGAAGTGCGCAGCCGCGTGACTGGGGTATATACTCAACACGCGCACGCATCTATGGGACACTGACGCAGACTCGCAGACATCCAATGATACCACGAACAACTCCAACGCTTGTGAGGTAACTGCACGCTGCCTTTATTGCGAAGTGTGCAGCCGCGTGGCTGGCGTATATGCTCAACACGGGCACGCATCTATGGGACCCTGACGCAGACTCGCAGACAGCCAATGATACCACAAACAACTCCTACACCTTTGAGGTAATCTTACTGTCTTTACCTGAAGCGTTGCATTTTTCTGGTGTTGAAGTGTGCGGATCCACGAATTTTTTGACTGCTCGATAAGCGCACCCATATAATATGGGGCACCAACACTAACTTATGCATTTGTAAGATATACAAAATAGGGTATTTGATAAGTTTGAGAAAACGATCTCACGTTATTTACTAATGTTTATAGAGCCCATAAAAAGTGGATATTCATCATTATGTTGTGTATTTCGGTAAAAAAACCAAATGCCAATCTCTATTTTCAAGTTGCCGCGAAAAACGTATCTCTGGACAATATGGCGTCTCTCTGGTGTGTGACGTCACACGACTGTCATTAAAACGTCAAACCATACAATCAAATGTCACTTTAACTGGAAGTTTACTTGCGTCTGACGTCATTTTAGGCTCCACCAATCGCAAGCGTTTTGGGTCACGTGACAATACACAAGAAAACTATTATCTTTATGGTGGGTTTTTAGTAAAATTATGAATATTTTTTCAATAAAAATAGTAAAAACTCCTGCCAATATTCATTCTAAATACAGATGCAAATAAAGTGCCAATTGTTAACTTTATTTTTATACTGTCAAATACCCTATTCCAGTGTCCAATGCGGAACTGATGCAGGTCTAAGCGTTTGACTTTTGTGTTCACGAACTCTAACTGCAAGAACCGCTAATGCAAATACCGCTAAGTATGCATGGTAGGAGTAGTAGTATACTACGTTGTTCAAAAAGTATCGCGAATTTCATGTTTTTTTAAGAATTATTTATTTATTCATGAATATCTATTTTGTCCCCTTCAAAGTAATCCCCATCAGACATTATACACTTGTGATAACGTTTTTTCCAATCCTCGAAGCATTTTGAAAAATCATTTTTTGTGAACTTGTTCAGCTCCTCCTTCGATGCCATCTTTATCTCTTCAATCGTGGCGTAGCGTCGTCCTTTCATGGGCCTCTTCAGTTTCGGGAACAAGAAAAAGTCACAGGGGGCCAGGTCTGGGAAATACGGTGTCTGCGGCATTATTAGAGTGTTGTTTTTGGCCAAAATTTCGCGCACAAGAAACGATGTGTGAGCAGGAGCATTATCATGGTGCAAAAGCCAATTTTTGTTCTTCCACAAATCCGGGCGTTTCTGGCGGATTGGTTCTCGCAAATTGCACATTACTTGAAGGTAATATTCCTTATTGACCGTTCTACCCTGCGGCAAGAACTCATGATGCACCACGCCCCTGCAATCGAAGAAAACTGTCAGCAAAACCTTCACATTGGATCGAACATGGCGTGCTTTTTTCGGTCTTGGCTCGTGCAGCAGCTTCCATTGGGATGATTGAGCTTTGGTTTCTACGTCATAACCAAAAACCCATGATTCGTCACTAGTTCTGACTCTCTGGAGCAAATTTGGGTCGTCACGGACAGAATCCAACAATCCTGAGCAATGTTAATGCGATGCTGTTTTTAGTCGAAATTGAGGAATTTTGGTACGAAAGTCGCGGCTACACGTCTCATGCCCAAACTATTGGTAATAATCGAACGGCACGAGCCAATCGATATATTTAGGTCCTCAGCAACTTCTCTGACGGTGATTCGACGATTGGCCAATACTATTTTCTTTACTTCATCAATGTTTTCGTCTGTTGTTGACGTGCTCGGGCGTCCGGAACGCTCTTCATCGCTCACATCTTCTCGGCCCTCTGAGAAAATTTTATACCACCGATAAACGTTGCTTTTGTCCAAAGTAGCTTCGCCTTATGCAACAGTCAACATTCTGAATGCGTCCGCGCACTTTAAGTTGTTCTTCACACAAAATTTGATACAAATTCTTTGATCCATTTTTTGGATTAGACGAAAATCGAAGACAAACTAAAACACGCCCACGCACAATAGCTGTCAAAAACTGACTGGACATTCAAAATGGCCGAAATTTTCAACATAAGTGAGGGTCATGAGTACCAACATAACGCCACCAAAAGATCAAAAATCGAACATACGTAGCCCGCGAAAATTCAAAATTCGCGATACTTTTTGAACAAACCTCGTATAAGCACATTTTTATAAAATGACGCTGTCATTCTCATATAATCATGAAGGTAAATTGTTAACCACAAATCAAATAAAGAAAGAAGGTTAGCAGCGTTTTTGCTACTGCATCTTGGAAGGCATTACTAGAGTTACGCAAGGTGTAATAGATAAACGAACACCATCTTTGTTCTAGAACTTCAGTCTCAACTCCAAAAACCCGGTGCTCCACAAAATAACGGAACATTTAATTGAAGAAGCGTCTACCGAAGAAGAGGAGCTACTCGGCCTAGAAGCTTCGTCGGAGATAGCTGCTCAGGAACAACCGGACCCGGAACTAATGCGCGTGTTGGATAGACTCGTGCTGTACTTGCGTATCGTGCATTCTGTTGACTATTACAACCATTGCGAATACCCGTATGAAGATGAGATGCCAAACCGTTGCGGCATAATGCACGCACGCAGCGGACCACCAGCTAATAAGGTGAAAAAAATATAATGACATTGATGTCGATTCTGGTATGATTGTCTAAACGTAAACTTAAATTGCAACTGTGTATCCTTGTCATACTCTATACAGATAGACAAGGAGAAACTGATATTAAATTTAGTTTTAAGTTTAGATAGTCATGCCAGAATTGACACCATTGTGATGATAATAAATAAATATTATTTTACATTTTTACAATTTACCTAAACCCAACTGTTAAATCACATTGAATAAACAATTAAGTATTTAACAAGTAATATATTTTTCATACACGTGTTTAGTGTAATGCTTATAAAGAAATTATATACTTACCACTACTACTACTATACTTTATAAAGAATGAAAAGGACAGACTGATGTCAAGTTTACAAATAGCAAACACGAATAGCCAAGTGAAGCGCTAGCATACTACTTTAACTTTGATCAGTTTGCATTGACATTTGTTTTGTTTGTAATGTTGATGTTTAATATTGATTTTATATTAAACATCAACATTACAAACAAATGTACAGAAAATCATGCTGATATGTAAACTACTTTGAGATATTTTAGTTAATAGGCGGTTATGTCTATCCTTACACAAAAGTGTTGCTAAACTCTTTCTTATATTTTCATTGTTTACAACAGCCAGCGCAGCAAGAAGTACAAGATTACATAAAGACCTTTGAAGGCAAGATGTCTGCTTTCCTACAAGATATGAAACCACTTTCGGATGAAGAGTTACAAAAATTGGGGATAAAGGTTTGTATATTGTTTATAAAGCCAATTTGATTGGAGAAATGTTTTCAAAGTTTATTATACTGACTGGCAAACATTATAATTTTTAGGACCCTGATGTAGAAGTCGAGAAATTCATTCAATCTAACACCCAAGAATTATCTAAAGACAAGTGGCTGTGTCCACTAAGTGGCAAGAAATTTAAGGGTCCCGATTTCATAAGAAAACACATTTTTAACAAGCACGCAGAGAAGGTAATGTAATACATTTTTATTATTTTATATGATGGCAAACTTTATTTTATATTTGATCTTGAGTTTGATTAAAGTATGCCAAGGAAAGGTAGAAACCTTGTAAGAAACACCAAACTGTGGAACCATCCATATGTGATGATATTAACTTGATTTATGCCCCATATATCGCCAAATTTAGTACTATCTATGTTTGTTTTGAAAATCTGAACAGCATCACAACAGGTGTAACGAGAATAAAAATCTTCCATACTAAAAGTATTGAGATTTGAAGCGTATCAAGATCGAATTCAACTATTCCAATTCGATATTGGTTCGTGCTAAGCGTACAGAGTGCGTTTGAATTACACTAAATGGGACTTGCGTTAACTTTACAGCCAAGCGAGTGTATCTGTTAAGTTAGCGCAAGTCGCGGCACACACGTGCGCGCGGAGATTCATTGCTTGAAAACTTATGCATAATGATGGTGTTTATGAAAGAAGAACGGCGAATGTAGGCCCAAATGTTTTAGAAGCCATTTAATGATAGAAACATTAAAATTTTAAATAAGGGGGACTTACAGTAATTTTTAAAAATAAGCTTGCATTCAGAAATAAAATAATTATGGTTTCTATATCGAAACATCACGTTATCCATAGCAATAATAAAACGCGAAAACAGTGTCGTGGTTCAGTTCCGGCTTATGCAGTAGTTTTCACTTTAGAATAATATTACAATAGCAGCTTTTGCTTCACTATAATTATGTAACTAAATTATTTAAATTATTTGATAAATAAAACAAAAGAAGTTAACGTCATCAAAAGAAAGAAGAAAATACTTTATTTTTAAACATTCATCTAATATATCGGATAAACGGATATTGGTTTTTTACTTCTGTGAAACGGAAAATATTTTTAAAATCTAATGGCAATGTCTGTAAATTTTTTGTTGTTTTGTCCGTTTCTGTGTTTATTTTACGTAGAATATTTAATTGTGATTTTTTTGTCTATGATGTCGCGTTTTTGAAGAAAATATGATCCAAAGTCGTGAAAATCACATTATAAATACATCATTTAATTATATACTTTCGTAAAATAGAAACACATAATCACTTTTATTATGAATCCTACTACTTATATCTTTTTTGTGCTAGCTTTAATTGATTATGTCTAATTGACTTTTTTGTTAGTCTTATTTAGCAGTACGAAAATCTATAAATATCATTCGTGAATGGTTCCTTGAAATCTGTGTCTCAAATTATATGGAAGTTCGCCATTCTTCTATAACTAATCGAACGACCATTTAAATCCATAGATAAAGACATTTGCGATTTGACGGATGATTAGACCTTTAGTCTCAGTGCTGTCAGCTGGTACCCGTCATTCCAGAAAACCTTCATTGTATTCGCTGCTAATTTTACAACCTATTTGCGAACGGTTAGGGAGTGGGATTCCTTACCGAGGTCTGTTCTCCCGGACCAATATAATCTGGACATCTTCAAGGCCGGAGTGAGCAGGCATCTTTTATGCAGGCGTGTCCCATCCTAGGCTTCATCATCGCTTTCCATCAGGCGAGATTGTGGTCAAAGCCTTGCCTATTAAGCATAAAAAAAACAACCACTGAAAATTAATTTTAAATGGATTATTACTTTGAATGTTATTATTACTTGTTTATTGATTTTTTGTCTTTGATTGACATACATTTATTGACCTAACCCTAAATGTATTTTATATTTGATTCAAGTATAATAAGAATAAATTTTAAAATTATATTTTTTATTAACTATTTAAATTTTTCTAATAAAATCATCTTAAATTGTTTCCCTATTGTAATTTTATCAATTTTTAAATTAATATTTGTATACTTCATTCATTATAATTTGCAATGCTCTTGCAGGGCTCATGTTTGTGAGCTGTTATTAGATTTAAGAACTGAATGTAACCAACATGAAGAAATAAATATTATGTCTATGACTAGAATGAATTGCACAATACGTTTCCCGCTAGGTGGATGAAGTGCGACGCGAGGTGGCGTACTTCAACGCGTACGTGCGCGACGTGCGCCGGCCGCAGCAGCAAACCCCGCCGCCGCGCAACCCGCCCGCCGCTGCCGCGCACGCGCCCCCGCCCGCGCCGTACGTATTCACCCGCCCTTTTTTTTTGTTCTTTTGACGATGTGAAATCCCTTGACGGACCGTACCGTGCGCTAGCGAGGCGCACGCATAGAGGAATAAGAATAGAGTAGGGTAGATATAGACTACTACAAGTGGAAGTATCCCTCTAATAGAAAGAGAAAGAAGATGAGAGACGGAGCGTATCTCGGCCCGAGCCGTACATTGTCGGTTTTTGTCAATGTTCTAAAGTGCCTCACTGCATGCAGACAGTTTGTTGTAAGCCGTGTTAGGCATGCGAAGTCGCTCGATGCTGGGTCAGCGTCACCATGGTTCGGCCGAGGCGCACGCGGCTTCCTCGGGCAAATAAGTATAGACCGAGGCAGCGGACGGATGGATTGGCAATTTGTCTACGACGCGACCTTAAGGCCGAGTGGATTTATTTGTATTGTTTATTTTATTTAGGCATGCTAACAGTCACACATATTCATACATCATGATTGAATCGGATACTATACAATTTTCTTATATGCAGACCAATTATAAGCATACACAACAATCACAATAAAGTTAATATACAACTTGATACAATTCAAGAAATTGACCTGATCACAAATATATATATTTTATGGATAGACTGAATTAATTTGCGTTAATTTATTCAAATACATAGACAAAAGAAGAACAGATTATTTTGTTATTTATTTATTTGTTGTACCAAAGTGCTTCAGCATCTTACCCTTAAAGGTATTAAAATTTTCTTCAGATTTGTAAGAAGGGTACTTTGTTGCGCAGGTACGGTGGCGGGCACGGTGCGGGCCCCACGGCGGGGCGCGGCTGGGGCTGGGGTGGGTGGGCCCCTCCGGCGCCCTACGCGCCTCGTCATCCGCGCTTCTCGCGCCCCAGGTAACCAACCACTGCCATACAGTGCGACCGAGATCTTGTGGCGCGTGCTCGAAGTTAGAACAAATTTTTGGAGTAAAAATAAAGACGTTATATTAAGCCTTTTATATTTTCTAAAAAATTATAATGTTTCCTAAGTGATGAGATTTTATGTACCTATTTTATTCTTATTTCACCAGCAGCGCCCCCCTGTCAATGCCATAAAGTGTCACAAGATCTTGGTGCAACTGTACATACCGCTACACCACATCCCACTACTGTCATAGCACGCTTTGATGGACGTTTTGACTCATTACAATAGTAAGGTTTGTGTTACGGAATACTAGGGTAATGGATTTAATACATAATACTGATACGTATATAAGTATATTTTTTAAAACAATGTTTTAAATCTAAAGAAAATTATACTAGAAAAAGATTCACGAGGACCAAGCAGCAAACGGGACTCGATTTTCTAGTATAATTTTCTTTTGATTTAAACAGCTATAGTTTATCCACTTTTAGTCCAGTCAGTATTGTCGCGAAATCCGTTTTTCCTCAAACAGCTGGAACTATGCTAAAAAGTTTCTTAAGATAGTAAAGAACACTTTACATAGAGAAAAAAATGTTTCCAACCCCGGGCAAGGGTGAAAACCACCCTTAATAATCTATTTTTCCAATTATCTCAAAAAGTATACGAGATACGGAAAAAAACTTCAAATGAAAATTGTAGATCTTTTTGAAATCTACAAAACATTATTCCACCCTCTTGCCCCTATTTTCAATAGGGGAGCCAATAATCGAAGTCAAAGATTCAATACTTAAAAAGTTAAAGTTAGTTAAAAAAGTTATCTTTGACTTCGATTATTGGCTCCCCTATTGAAAATAGGGGCAAGAGGGTGGAATAATGTTTTGTAGATTTCAAAAAGATCTACAATTTTCATTTGAAGTTTTTTTCCGTATCTCGTATACTTTTTGAGATAATTGGAAAAATAGATTATTAAGGGTGGTTTTCACCCTTGCCCGGGGTTGGAAACATTTTTTTCTCTATGTAAAGTGTTCTTTACTATCTTAAGAAACTTTTTAGCATAGTTCCAGCTGTTTGAGGAAAAACGGATTTCGCGACAATACTGACTGGACTATTGGCGTGAGAAAAAATGTAAACAAAGAATGCGAGGTTCTAAAACTTATGTCAGATGTAAACTAATGTCAGAAAGTACCTACTAGTCAATGATTAGGTATAATATATGTAACCTATAATTCGTTAACAACTTTAAACTTAACAGTAAAAAATAACAACAAATAAAACAAGGAAATAACAAGAATTAAACAAATAATAATCTGTCTTATTTGTTAATTTCTTGTTATTTCCTAATATGCACGCTCGCGTCAACAGGTTTAATCGGGAGAGTAAAGATGGCTGACGTAAACCAACCCCTTTACAAAACAGAACACTTCAACATAAAATACTTATATGTATCATGTCTACTCTTCAATTTTCGTCGTATTATAATACGTCTTAAGTTTGGGAATAATTTTGTTTTTAGGCCTTTTTCCATGTCAACTTAAGTTGTAATACTTAATCTAATACTTTTATCAGCAAAATAAAAAATATACGAATTTAGATGTGTATGTACATTAAATATGTGTAAAATATTTTTTTTTGTAAATAGTATTTAATATTTACTTTTGTCAAACATGACTTTAAAAAGAATCTTTTTTATGGTTTGTTTACATTAGGTCTCACTCCAATGTGAATTGACAAAAAATAAATAATATAAGTTTTTGAATGATATATGTTTCATTACCGATTCGATAAATGTTATGACTAAAAGCGCGTCTCTAATGACAATGAATAAAACAATTATTTCTTTTGAAATTAAAAACTAATTTCAAATATGAAACTATATGGGCGCACTAACGTCAAAACGGCCATCATAACGTGTCGCTACTTTAAGTCCATATACCACACACAGACTGTTATGCATGCCGCTACAATACTTCCACTACACCCATACCACACACTATACCCAGACTAAGGCTCGTATTACGGAATGACAACTATGTGTTGATCTTTACTTGAGTACAGTTAGAAAGGGATATCGCTATATATAGCACATAGCGACATCCCTTTCTAACTGTACTCAAGTAAAGATCAACACATAGTTCATTCTGTAATACGAGCCTGAGACATCTATGCATGCCGCTACACTACTCACACTACACCCGCTATACATAAAGAATTGATTGAGCGTTCCCAGCCGCTACACTACTTCCACAAAACCTAAAATACTCATAGAATTTGATTAAGCAGTCCTTGTCCAATTAAATAAATCCTGCTGCCAATAGTTTGTATAGGTAGGTATTGGCTGCATCATGGTTTTCTCTCTTACTAAGAGAGCTTTATTTCATGCGATATTCGCTCAGGCCATTCTCTATGTCTATGCATAAACACTATTTACACGCTTATTTCTCACCCAGTAAATTTACGTATTCCATACTATATGTACGGAAACGAGCAGTACCCTTAGCACGAACCAATATCAAATTCGTAACGTTTGCGAGTCCGAAATGTCATTGTTAAATATGTACTGATTTGTAGTTTTCGTTGCGTACTTTGTGGCGCTGCTGTTCAAGTTTCCATACAAAATTTGACATTGACATTTAGCACTCGCAAACTATTCGAATTCGATAATGGTTCGTGCTAGGGGGTACAGTACTAACTTTTTTGTCGGAGTAACGATCGCCATGTTGTCGTCCGTTACTACGGCCAATGATAGCTCACTTTCTCGTATCAGACACACTTGTCCATCCTTGTAAGCCGAACTTTATTTTACAAGCTTGATTTCGTGAACAGCTCAGACCAAATAAAAAGTAAAGACGGAGTCTGCCGAACCAAAAAGTGAAGCCGGTTTTTTATGTATGTAGTGCATTAGCCAGTGTTACCATAGTCATATAAAACACCCCAATATTAGAAAAATGTAATATCGTAAGCTTATTCTCTAAACCTCTCGTGAGCCAAAGGTCATGCGCCGTTCTCACCTACAATCCACCTACTTCTTTATGGACCGCCCGCCCGCTGGGTGGGAACGATTGCATTGTTCTGCCGATTTTTTTGTTATTTTGTAAAAATACCCTTCACAAACGTATATTTGGATTCTCCATAAAATTTTCAATAAAACAGTGTGTACACTATGCGTCATGTCTATAATTTATTTTAATTACATTATGGTAAACTCAGGAAAGATAAAAAAAAAAAAAAATATTTTCAAAATTTGTAAATTATAAATCCAGGTTTTTGTACATATAGAATGTACTATATATAAATGAATGTATATAATAACTTACCAAATACAATTATAAAATATAACACGCAACAGAAAAAAAGGGTCGTGTTTCAAGTGTTGATAAAAACAAATGCGAGATCCAAGTGCCTTGATTTATGTGTTGACGTTTAATTATGTTGGATTGTTTATTTTACTTTAGTTACAAGTCTCGGATGGAATAGGTTTGTTCATTTTATAGTTTCAAGCACTCGCAACAAGGCACTTGAAATCGCTTACAAATCAGTTTCTTTTATTAAAATGTACATGAAATTTTCTATAGAATACACAAAATATAATCACTAGTTCCTATAAAAGAACATAATAAAATAAATCAACAAACATCGCGAATTTTGGGTCAAAAAGGCCATTAAAAAGTAGAGGCATCTTAAAACGGTGTGCACATTAAATGAGGCATTTTTCTAGTGAGCACAGTTGCGGTGAAGGTTGAGTTTAAAATTAGCTAAGTACCAAATTAACATTATTTTTACTATTGTACTAATACTTTTATTGAACAATGATACTTAATTCAAGTAAGTTCGCTTTAATTTAGTAGCATAATACGGCAAAATGGGGAAACTGAAGCAAGTAGTTCTACCACAACATGATAGATGGTGGGACTTGTACAAACAATAAGCAGTTAGCAAATAAATTATTGGAATCTTTAAAATATAAATTAATCTAAGTAACCATAATAATAGTAAAAAAAATACCTTTGGATATGCATTTTGTTTTACACGACGTAACCCTTTTGTTGTGTAGTACAAATCGTCGCTCTGAAAATGAGTCGAACAAACCACGCTGCGGGAAGCTGGTTGCCACAATGGTTCATTTCTACTCTTACGAATGACTGCAATCCACTTCTCTTTTAGATCTTGATCTCGATTAGGAAATCTTAAAAAAAACGTATAATATATAATGTGTATTACATCCCAAAAAAATTATACGAATACATAAAGAAAAAAGATAATAAAGATGTTTCGTGTAATTGTTTATCCATGCATTACAATATTCGAATAATATAAAAGTATGCTACACAATGTATTTAATAAAATAACGTTACGTTATATTTCACGCTACCCAACAAAAGGGTAAAACTGTAACGAATAATCATGGCAACATTTCGTTCAGGTTTTGTTTACAAAGCGACAACCTCAAATTTGATTTTGATTAATTGAAAATAGCAGTTTATAACTTTACTTACGTATGAAATGTGATTCCATCCTGTTTTTTATTCTTGGAAGATTGGTTTTTACACGTTTTCACTACACAATTCGGCATTTTCTCTAATAAATATTGTTATTTATTATTACGTCACACTCCGCGCGTCGGGATAGCTCGACTGAGAAGCCAAGGCGTAGTTTCGTTGCATGTGTGTGCGTGTAACTGCGTATGTACACGGCGAGGCGTAGTTTTATCGGCTTCACTTTTTGGTTCGGCAGACTCCGTCTATACTTTTTATTTGGTCTGAGGTGAACAGTATATAAAAACGACACTGTGTTCTACCGTAGGTAGAAATCTGCAAACGGTAAACTCATCTGCTATCTAGACTCCACTCAATCCAATCACCATCGGGCTGTCGTTTATGCTTAGTTAACATTTTAAATGTGTATCAATACTGTTTCAATAGTATTAATTTTATTGTTGATAGAGTACTTGTTACTACTTATTGAATCAAAATACTATGTTTGTTTACTCGTTAGTTATTGTTTTACGTTGATATTTTGAGGTCTATTGAAAAGAGTTTTGTGAAAACGAAGAAATATTGATACGCGATTATCTTATTTATTAAGCAGAACTGACACAATAAGAGGGAAGTGATATGAAGTGAATGTTATAATAATATCAAATCTTTCGCATGAAATATTACATATAAATTAACTGTATCTAAAGTTACTTATATATAGAGATGGAAAAAACGGCTTATTTCTTAAAAGCGTTTAAACGTTGTACTTTTTAAAATAAGCGCGCTTGAAAAAAAGCTTTTTCGTTTAAACGCTTATTAGCTTAAACGTTTTAAAGCATGCGTAAAAAGCGCGACGTTGTGTTGTGTTTTCGTTTAGGTATATCGTTTAAAAAAGCGTGAAAAGTTTATTGTCGTTTTTAATGTGTATAAGTGTTTTATTGCTTCTTATTAATGAAATTTTTATTAAAAAGTTTTTTTAAACCTAATGAATTGATTGGCATTAAAAACGAAAGATTTTCAATTGAATTTAGATTTTATAATAAACATTTTTATAATAGTCAATGAACTTTCCTTCGAACTTTACAAGCTTAGGACTGTCTGGAGTTAATATACTCGTGATCCAGGCGTACTTAAAAGTTCATTGATTTTATATACATACTTTTAACTATTTTATATGCACATTAAACCAATACACGAAACGCATTACAAGCAAGCATGCAAACACACCGTACAACACCCACGTGCTCTTACCCCGTCACAGTGACAAGCGTACTGCTTTTCGACTTCGTTTAATTAAACGCTTTTAACGAAAAAAGCGTTGGTTATCCGACTAAATTTTAAAAAAGTGCATTTTTTTACGTCGCATTATAATAATTCGCATGCTGTATTAACCGGCTCACAAAAGATGGCACGCCGACGCGGCGCTGTAGTCGCGCATTCTATGTCTGTGATATTGTGAAATATTTAGTCCCAAGGAATTCCGCGTACCCATTTTTCGATACTGTAGTGGACTAGAAGGATCGAAGTATGTAGTTTCCTGGCAAAAACACAGATGGCGGGATTTGCACTTTTTAAGTATAAAATATACTTGCACTTTTTTAAGTGAAAAGCTTACTCACACTTTTTAAGTGAAAAGCTTATAACGCTTATACTTAAAAGCGTGCTTACAAGCTTAATATTTTAAGCGCGCTTATTTAAGCGCTTTTCGTTTAAACGCCCACCGCTACTTATATATCGCTAATATATATGATTATACAAAATGGGAAAATATTTCCGTAGCGTAAGGGTAAACTTTTGGTGTAGGCATGTACATATTTCAATCAAAGACAGCTCGCAATAAGTGCCACTTCAAAATTGACCCTGTCGTCTTTCTCATTAGTTTTAATAAACATATAACATTTATTGTCATACGCGTCATCATAGTAAATTAAAGTACTACAAAAGCAAATTTGAAATAAAAGTAAAAAGAGTTATAATATCGGACTTATTTCCAACGGGACCGAATTTTATTGTCGAAGGGTAGATGCTCGACTAACGAATGATCGTATGAACTACTTACAAAGTAGAACTTAGCTTGAACTGGTGTTTTCAACAACTATAACTCGAAACACATAATGTTCAAATAACGATGGTTCGTTTGAACTATTTATTAAAATATCGATGTTTGTATCGCATAGTGAATAACGGTTTTTGAGATTTTTTAAGGAAATTTATTAATATCGCAATACACCTTCATTCATAATATATACGCAAAAGCAACTTTATCTTTCTGTCAGTACATATTCCGCCTAAGCTACTGCAAAAATCATAATGAACTTTTGTGCTTTTTGTCACCTAAAGTAAATTTTGAAATGGTCGAAATCTATGATAATGTATAGTGAAACATTTATATACTTACATACAGACGTAGTCATGAGCACTAGTTAGTAAAACAATCGTTTTTTATAAAAAAAACTAATATTTTTTTTTGTAAGTAGCAGGATATTCAATATTAAATAATTATATTTGGCAATAAAAAAATCAATCGTGCGACCACGGAGTCTGTTATCGAACCAAACGTCACGAATAATGTTAAATAATTATAATGAAACGCGCTTGATTCCCGTTCAAAAAGTGTATTATTAAACTAAGTGACCCTTGCTTCGGTTCAGTAAAGACTACACTTTATGTTCTCGGGCATGTATTATACATATAAACCTTCTTGAAACACTCCATTTAAATGTGGTGCGTAGTTTAAAAGATCTTAGCTTACAGACCGCTGTCTGTACGACTTTGTTTTATACTATGTATAAAGCAAAGTCGTACAGACAGCGAATAAAGATAATTGATGAGTTTAACAATATAAGAAATACTTATTTTATATTAGAAGATAATATTGTTAGCATAGTTTGATTATTAGCAAGAGGGCAAAGTATTTTTAGATTTCTTCTATTTAGCTTTAAATATAACTTATAAAGTTCTCTGTGCGTCGTGAATGTTAATTAATTAATTAACCTGGAACAGTCTGCTTCTTTTGAACAATCGTCAAACCAGCAATGTGTATTTCGCGTAAAAGTTATCCGAAATTGCAACAGTTCGAGCTATGCTTTTCCGTTAAATAATTCATTCGAGCAATCGTCCATAGTACTTTATAGATCATCTGTATTTTGATTATAAGGTGCGGGCCCATTTCTCACTAACCAACGCATGTCGACGTTTATATTAGAAGTAAATATTTAGGAGATTATCTTATTAAAACTTTATCTTTGAGTTTTTAATTATACAATATCAAACATTACTCTATAGTTCACAAAACAGAATCGAATACCTACTCTAACGAAAAGCTCAAATTAGTTCACAAACCAGAATCGAATACATACTCTAACGAAAAGCTCAAATTCTTGAATCTTCCTTTGAATTGACTTTACATGAAATTTCTCTTAATATTACATTGCACATTTTGTTTTTTGTGGATTGTGACCTGAATAAATCATTCACGCTTTGAAAACGATTCGATTACTGTTTGCATGACCTTAACATTTTGTTTTCTCATAGGATTGTGTTTTGGTTGTGATTCATAAATGCGCTTACAAGCCTGATTGTCAGCTCAGGATATTTAAATTCTATTCAGAATAGAGTTAGAATGTTAATTACAATAAGGAATTAAGATTCTTCTCTCTAGATCCGTAATATATTCTAATTCATTAGAAACATTCTCTTTGCATCGAAAGAATATTAAATTCTAAATTATATTCTTCTTAACTATAGAAATTTAAGAAGAATATAATCCAGTGACTTTCAATTTTTAAATATAGCCTTAGGCATTGTCCTAATACAACGCGATAATGCGATCATCGCGCGTTTAAACGACGCGACCATCGCGTGATCGCGAACTGGGTGTCCTAATAGAACGCGAATACGGAACGGGTTAGCCCTGCCCCTCTCCCCGCTTCCTATCGACGCGACGCGATCATCGCGCGAACTTCAGTTAGGACACCTATTCATCATTAATAGGTTTGATTGCGCGTAGAATAGATTTTTAAACATTTTAGTCGCGCGAATGCATCGCGCGATCGCCTATTAGGACACCTATTCTAGATCAATATCGTTTGATCGTCGACTCGTACGATGATCGCATCGCTCATTCGCGTTATCGCGTTGTATTAGGACAATGCCTTACATTGTTTTTGACTACGCGATCATCTCACGGAGCTCCGTGTATCGACCGATTTATCTTTTTGCTACGTTTCGGCCATTTTCGTGTATATAGGGTATAAAATATTGTTGTATAAAACTGACAACCTGGTTTTACCGCATGGCTGAATTCGTGAACTTTTAGCCCTTAAAAAATTCTGTCCACTATTATAATTCATTTCCAATTTATTTGAGTTGTCATTGTTGTTCAACTGTTTCTGAGTGGAAGGAATAATTTGCAGGGAAAATGTGGATCGCTCCCGGCCTATTATTACATACAACGATCTTGACTTCCCGGACAGTGGTGACATATTTTAGAACGTGACTTAATTATTGTGTCAATGACTGTGCAAATAATTTTTGTAGTATTTTTCCGTGAAGCATTCCATCAATGTCATTATTTTAAAACATTAACTTATTGTAAGTCATTTTGAATGTACATATTTGCCTTGAAATGAAATATTGAAATTGTATAACCGTATATATATTTGAAAATGTACTTTCGATTGTTGTTAAAAATTACTCATGGATACCACCTGGTTACTGCCAATTAAAAATAAGAAACATAATGTAAAAAAATAGTACAATCATTTAAAGGATATTGTATCCCATACGTTATTACGTATTTTTATATATTTTTTTACTTTCAATGTTTATTTTATTCTGTACTTACTGTTCAAATATTTGTATTTGTTTTGTGTATTTTTTTTTAATTTGTGCTGTAAATGATAGGTACATAATTTTGACAATATTGTTAGTGCATATTTTATATTCACAATTTTGGTAAAATAGGCATTACAGAAATTTAATTTTGTTTACGTGGATACATTATGTTTAAAATATTTTGAAAAGACGTCATAATTGTAAGTCATAATATTTTTTTATGAACTGTGTTAAAAATGTTTTACAATATTAGCAATACAATGTCATATTGTATATTATAATAATAAAAGTTCCGGTAAAACTTTACAGCTTAGCGTTTCCTTCGATTATCCTGTTTTCTTATTTTCTTCTTATAAGCATTAGGTTAACTAACACACCGGGAAGCTGAGATTTTTGGCAAAATGTAACGGTCAAAGCGGAATGCGTTTGAGATGTTTGAAGTGTTGCGAGTGGCTTTGTTTGACACAAAAAAATGGAATCTTACTATGGTGTTGATTGTTAAAGGGGCGGTGGTGCCGAGTTCCGCGCGGTCATACACTATCGCGACTTGGACGCCCCGCGCGAACCAGACGAGTTCGTATAGCGAGGAACCAACGACTTGCCAAAGGACTTGCATATATCACATTTTATATTTTACCGCTAATTTGTAAATAAATTAGTTTTTCTTTTTTACAGTAGATACAACAGTTTATAAAGAAAACTGTCACAAAGGCCATAGGTGAATGTTAGTTTGAAATATATGACTTTTATCAATATCGTATCTTTTACTGATAATAATAACATACCCCAGAATATGATTAGTTAAAAAGAGGAGATAGTTTATGCGCCTACATCAGTAATAAGGTGAAAAATCAGACATTAACCTTGTTTGTTGCCACAGCAAAAAGTAAACTTAATGACTTGAAATGAAATTGACAGCGAGATGTTACAATCTATCCGCAAATAAACGTGCTCGATTTTGATGATGACCTCACTAGAAGGTTAAATATTATTGATGTCTTCCACGAAGTTCCTACAAAACTCGCCTTGTGCACAGGAAAATTAGTAACGGAAAGGTAAAAATTGTCATTTGATTATTAAAGGCATTTTATTTTTGATGACGAAGGTTAATATATTTTGAATATAGTTTCGATATATTTGCAATAACTTCCTAATTATTTTTATGTTGTTTAATTGTTTCGTTGCCTTGTGCCTATAGGTATTGTTTACTTACAAAAGTTTAGGGACCTTGACGTTTTAAAATGACTGCATCATGTAGGTAAATACTGTCTTATTTCTGTTAGTGTAACTTTGCACTTATCGTCGTTATCGTTGTAATCTTAAAACGTCAATGTTAATACTTTACAATAGACTCATTAATTTTAAAAGCTCGCCGTATATGATAAACGTTTCTTGTCAATGTCAACTTTGTGTGTAATGCATGTACGAGGAGTACAAATATAGCTTAGAATGCGTGGAGAGTATAGCATGTGAACGTCACCCGGATATCTGCGTCTGCGCATGCTCACGAGCGGCGACCTCTGTCTTTCCATGGATCATTGTTGTGTGCGTAAGTTATACATTAGATGACAATAACATATTAGTTTCATCTAATAACTTAGGTCTAGTGTTACCGCTTACCATTTAAATAAACATCTTTTTTTGGACATAACTTATGCTCGTTATTTAACAGAATAGCAGTAACGTGGCAATTTAAATTCACTTATTCGTAATGATTCTGAATGCCATACTGATAAGTCCAGGACAACTCGCACCATTTAATTGCAAATTATACTGTATTCGCAGAAAAGAGCCAGAGCACACTTTTCTGCCATTGACCGGGGTACAATGAGAGCCCTCTGTGTGGTGTGACGCAGTTTTTCAATCCAGTCTTTTGTAAGCAATTGGCTGATAAAGAAAGCACTCTCTTACTACGTCCTCCTGTAAACAGAGTTACCTAAGCGAAGCTAGTCTTAAGAATATTAGATAACTAAATATTAAGAACGACTTGACCAATTTGATTCATCTTTTTTTTAAAGTTTCTAATACTTTGTAGAAGGTTTACGGCTTACGAAAAAAAACTTAAAACGCAACCTAATGGGTGGCCGTATCGGCCATACATGCAGGATTTATTCTGATCCAGGGTATAATTAGCAGAAGTTTATTTCATCTGTTTTACAGAAATATAGAAAGTCGCTATCATTTTCTGTGGATTAGGACCTATGTGTGGGATGTCTGTCATAAGTTTTTTTTTCTATTTGTAATCCATGGACTTATAAAAAAAGGCGGACAGAGTCCCGGTAAACAATAAACTGTGTCGCTCAGAGTCGGCCAGGTCACTGTACGTACAAGCCGGCACACATTCACACAATAGTCGGCCACTACGCGTGCAAACGTCAAAGCAGCCGACATGTTACTTGGAGATAAAAATAAGCTAAAAAAGATATCTTGCTTGTAAAAAGGTCTTAAAACCGTAGTGACCGAAAGAAAAAATATCCAGGAATCACGTTTCATAGGTAAATGAATAATTGAATCACTTTTGACGTGACAACGTCTTAAATTAGGTTGCGGCTGGGAGTCACTTATGAAAAAGTGTAACGCTCGGTAACGTTACGATGAGTCTCTCGTGTTAAGTTTAAGTTTACATGTACAATGTTTTAGTAAACAAAATATATTTCTATAGTTAAAATTTGTGCAATTCTTATTTTCATTCAATTCCTTGTTCCTATTGTGCAATTTAATTATATTCATATCAATAAATATTCTACCGAGAAAAAGACGTTGTCACGTAAAATCTTCGCCCGTAAAACCGACTTTACAGGCAACCATTTTTTTTCTAGTTTTTAGAAATCGAAATCAATTTTAATTCTCAGGACAAAATGATCTAAAGTCCAGTGTTGCCAATGTTCATGTAACCATATTACCTAAAATATGGGAAATTGGGTTGACATTAACTTCAATCTATTATTTATTATTCTTTATTATCAGATTTCCTAAAGAAAATGTAGTATGGAGAAATGACTGGAAAATGAATGATTTCCAAACGATATGTAGTAGTGTCATTTTTAGTCTTAATTTTGAAGCTCAAGACTTATATACAACTAAAGGAGGACTCCGGTGTGTTATTACGTACCTATGCATTACATCAAAAACTTGATTAAAATTTTTAACCGACTTCGAAAAGAAGGAGGTTCGCAATGCGTCATATTTGTTTTTTTTTATTGTTGTTCGCGCAGATCTCCGAGATTCGTGGACCGTTTATGATGATTCTTTTTTTGTTTTAATCAGTTTACTAGCGAGATAGCGGCATATTAATTTACTGGAGATCTGATGAGTACTTTCGGAAGAAAACAATGGAACTCCTCAATTACAAATAGTACTCAATGGGTGTTTGTTTATTTTAAGAAATATGAAAAAGTATGCAGGCCAGGCTATCTATAATTAGTTGATTTACCCAATATTTAGAAAATTCGATACATTCTAGAATTTCTAATGAGTCCCGACTGTTAAAATAACTTTGTTCCTTATTAAACAGAATTCTAGACTACTGGACTTGTTTTTTTCTTTTTAGTACATTTTTTTTATTTTCGACATTTTAATTTCATTTTTTTTAATTACACGAGTTGTAATTAAAAAAAATGAAATGAATTATTTTCTAAATATTCTTTTAAAACCCTTCACTTTGATATCTCGCTTGACGGGTTATAAAAATACTTTTACTTTTTTTTTTCAAAAAGTTTCATTTTGGCGCATAAAATCTGTTATTTTGATTTTTTGAAATTTTAATATACCCAGTGCCACTCACACAATCACGACGAATCAAATGACACCTCACATGTCAAAATCCGTCAAGACGTTCAGGCTGTAGGGCGTGCCAAATTATTGGACATACATACATACATGTATACATACGCTCGAAAAACATTATCCTCCGCAGTCGGGCAAAAAGTAAAATTTTGAACAATTAGAATATTTTCATCTTTTTACTGTGTTTTATTGGTAAAAAATTGGCTAACCTAGCAACCCTACAATTCACTCACTCATCAATAGCCGCCGCCATTACGGTGCCTCAGTATTGTCTTAGCCGAAATTCTGTCCGCCTTTTTTTATACGTCCATGTTGTAATCGATAACGGTGAGATAATGGGAATGGCACAGTACAAGGGTAAGGTTTCTGTTTTTTTTTATACAAACGCGTCTTAAAATACTAAATATGGATAATTAAATTATAACAATTGAACGAATGGCATTGAAAAGTTTATCGTTACACCCCAAACACCCTCCACGCACCAAACAGGCATCATGTGGACGTTCAGTTGCGAAGACGCCCATAGAAAGAAGAAGAAAAAATCTGTCAGTCGTCCTCGTCTGTGATGAGCCTTAAACACGCATGATCTTCAGGCGGATGCGGTTACACAACTGAGCGACGATTTATCAATACATACTTGCGTACATTCATAGATGGGTTTTAAAATTATATCTGTACTGTAGGCTACACCGCAGGGTATAACGCTCAATACGAACGGAGTGACATCATTATATGCCATTTAGGTACGACAGGATGTAAATGTTTTGAATACATAAGATGCAACCGAGAGAGGCCTATAATAAAATTCCTGCAAATGACATGAAAACGTAGTTGCATAAAAAGTAAGTAGTCGCGAGTCTTCTGGTTGATGTAAATTATCGACAGGGCCGGTTTTAGTAGGACTACCAGAGCCCTGGGCGAGATTTCTGCAGCGCCCCCTAAATGTAATTCAAACTCATACGAAAAAAGGCAAAGGATATAATGAAAATACCTACTAATACAATTTTACTTTTCTAGTCATTAGCGAAATCATTTTATAAAGTTATCAATGTTTATGTTTTCTGCAATTTTTTTTTTTTGATAAAGTTGCCAAGTTTGTCAATTTGGATTGAGATAAATCCGTGGATGCTTTTCAGAACAAGTACCTTAGTGTAAAAAAAAATGGGTGCGTGTACTTATGTAGGCGCGTGAGAAGTTATCCTTCTTTGGCATCGTTTAAAATTAGTTTTTAATTGCATGCAAATAATTAATTACAATAAATTAATAAAAAGTCTGGAAAAGGACACAGTCAATAAAGTTCAGTTTTAATTTGAAAAAATAAATAAATAATCAAAATATTCAATTAAAATCGCTACTGAATATAATTTATTAGAACATATGTGATTTGCACTTGTATGAAACTCAAACACGTATTCCGAATATACAAACTAGAAACATGTGGATAAATATTATAAATATGAATACCTATAACTGTTACTTTATTACAAAAAATAAAGATGTGGTTTTTGGTTCTACTACACCAATGGTCAAGAGATGGCGCTGTAGTTTCCTGAATCGCGCTTTGGTTCCGTTGTTCCAGATTAATAAATACTTTTTGTTACTTTATTAGAAAAAATAAAGATGTGGTTTTTGGTTCTACTACACCAATGGTCAAGAGATGGCGCTGTAGTCTCCTGAATCGCGCTTTGGTTCCGTTGTTCCAGATTAATAAATACTTTTGATAGGCCTTCACAATGCAATCGTTAGCACCCACAAAATAGAGATTCTATTTCTATTTTGTTGGTAGATTTTCTTAATGTGCGGTAAACACAAAAGTAACAGCATGAAGTTGGTCGCTAAAGCGAATTTTTTGTGTTACAGTGATGCGCGCGCATCTTAAAATTTCACTCTCATCATTTTTTCATAACGCGCCTAAAGAAGTATAACTTCAAAAATAAATATGTACTGGGTTTCTCTATGGTAAGGTCGAGAAAATCGTTTAAGATGAATAAAAACATTGATTATGTATTTCCAAATATCGCTATTTATAGATAATAATTAATGTTTTTGAACTGTAGCAACTTATGAATCAGTAAATAAATATAAAATGAGTAAAGAATACTCAGTAAAATTATAGTAGGTATGCTGCAAAAGTCAGTCAGTTTAACTGATATTCTTTGGAGAAAGGCGCCCCGTCGCCGCCCCCTTATATATGACACCCTGTGCGGTCGCCCTAGCGCGCGTCCCCCGAACGCCGCTACTGATTATTATCGAAACTTATTCGATTTCACATAAGACATTAAAGTCTATAAACTTATAGGTAATGATCAGAACAACAAACATATTTTTAGAACAAAATACGTACATTCTAAAAATAATACCGGCTGGCCAAACATGGGTTAGGTTTTTTTATTTAAATCTTATGTTGTTAATTGGGGATATGAATTTTAATTTCTTATTATGTATTCGTTATTAGGGAAGGTGGCCTAAAACTACCTGAGGCCAGAGGCGGCGTAAGGCGTGGGCCACCGCCTATGGCCTCGCGGTACAAGGGGCCTCGCGCCTCAAAAATGTTTATGCATTGCTTAAAAGCGATTTTTTTTATTATTTTATAAAATCCGTCTTCAGGTCGCCACAGAACAGGGCCTCGCGAAATCTGTCTTGCCCACATCAAATTTAGGTCTTGCCCCGCCACTGCCTGAGGCCGCCTTTGATACAACCAGAGGCAGAAACGTGAGCCAGGGGATAAAGCGTAGAAAGAATTAAGAAGTAGAAACAAAAGAAGGCTTATCGAGAAAAGGAAAGTTGTATTTTTTATATTGCATGGGATGGTGACAAGCAGGCGGGCCCCGGGAAGACCAGTTAATGAGAGGAGCGTCCTCTCATCAACTGGTCGGGCCGGGCATAGGTTAGGTCAGGTACCAAAACCATGCCAAATGGAGCGAAATTTACTTGCTTGTGGAGGTCTCTCTCACAAATTTTGCCAAAATGATGGTGCGTAATATAAGCAGGAAGTCATAAATGCACCAAATCCGCACTGTGCCCGCGACAACAGTGACATGATGATTATTATTATAAGCTCAGCTTGTGCACAGTATACCCAGGTGTGCTATCTTGAGCAAAACAAGCTGACCCAAAAAGTACGTCACAAATTAAGGGGCAGGGAGAGAGTCGACGAAGTGTGACAAGGGGTGTGAGAAGTCCTAAGTTTCGTGACGTCACAATTCCAAATGTAATTCTTTTGAACATTATCAAAAATCTTTAAAATATTAAGAACTGCATGGGTTTTAATTTCTTTTGATGGCTTATTTTCGGAACTAGTTTTAAATCTTCTGTTTTCATATAATAATTTCTATTGCTGGCAACACAGATATTTGTAAATTAAAAAGTTATGTTGTTTCCGTTTCCCTTTTTCTCTCTGCATCCCTTGTTCTTGTGCGATTCAACGTGCTTTCAAAAATAATTATAAAATATCGTATCTCTGCAACCGGTGGTTTTCTTTGCAACCAAAAAACTACAGTCCACCACTCCAAGAGCGAAACAATTTCTAGATGCAAAATAAGTGGCGTCACACCAGGGAGGGTGGACTCACAATTGTGACCAACTGTGACAAGGACGGGGGAGGGGTGAAAAATCACGAAATCAGTGTGACATACTTTATGGATGAGCCCTTTTTACACCCTACTGTCCTCCTCGTCCAAATGACCCGATAAGTACCTTTTAAAAATCAACTGTCATACAATTAGGTAATAAATGTAGATCACAGCAGGATCTCCACTCTAAATGGAGCCCCCAAGTAGAGAAGTATCTTCTCCACTGACAGCAGAAGAAGATAGCAGCGAAACAAATAACACTATTTTATAATGCTGTATGTATTCCTACAGTGAGTAAGTTTGTCAGAGCCTCACAGGAAACTTATTACCAAAATTTACCAAGACGCTAAGAATTAATTATAAGCGTCTTATATTTACGCTTTGAAATTACCTATTGGAACAGATAATCACATCTAGAATTCGTAACAAGATGAACCTAGATGTTCGTCTGCAATAAGTTGGTTTTCTATACAAACTACCAACCCCCTTTTCACCCTCTTAAAACTTGATTTCTGGGGTAAGTTCCGTTGCATTTAAAAATAGCTCATATTACCCTATATTCTTTGTTTAGAATGATGAGTCAATAATTTTACTATTTTCTAACTTACCTCTTTTCAGGGTGTGCGTTATTTTTAAGTGAAACTTATAAAATCGACTCAAAATTTTTCGTTCATCTTTAGCATATCGCACTACATTTTAATTGCTATTAAAAATTGAGATTATTATTAAGCAACTACAGTTCAGTGGTAAAATGCTCGCCTGCCACGCAGGCAGCCCAGGTTCAATTCCCAGCAGAGCAAACACTTTTCTTTCCGTTTTTTATAAGCCGGAATAATATCAACTCCGAATAATTTTCCAATAATTTCCTGTTAAACGCCTACGATCCGGAAAAAAATTGAGGTGATGTAATACAATAAAAGTTTCGCAAAACCAAGGCAATTTTTATGTTATACGTTATATACCTAGTCAGGTCATAAATTCTGTCCCATGTTTAATATAAAATAATTGAAACAAGTTTGTTCATTATGTAACCATTTATATACCAAAATGAACTTAACGAAACATAGATTCTTATGACAATAAAGTTTATCGGCGGCTGCCTTAATCAAGGATGTCTTGAGTGACTCCAAATTGGGATGAGGCTTTGAGCACGCCTTTTCCTCCCAAGTGTTGCCATATATATATATATATAATCTAACGGACTCAAATCTGGACTGGAGGAGGGCCAGTCTTCGTGCCGGATGAAGTCGATTTCACGCGCCGCCAGCCAGTCTTGTGTGCTCGCTCTATGAGCTGGCGCCGAATCTTGTTGGAATACCCAGTGCCTGTTATTGAACCTGGTATGAGAAACAGGTTCCACAAGGTTCGTCAGGACTGTATTTTGATACACAACTGCATTCGTTTTTACACCTTTCTCACAAAAATGTACTCTGTTAAGCCCCAATAAGAAACTCCCAACCATACCATGAGCGAGGATGGAAAATGACCTCGTTGGACACGTGGAATAAGGTTGCTCGCTTCTTGACTACTATGTGCGTACACCTTATCATTTTGTTTGTTGTAGCTCTCTTCTACGGTAAAAAATTTTTCATCCGAAAAAAGAATTTCCCCATATTTTTTCCCCGCGTACCGCTTCAACAAAGCGCGGCATCTCTTCAGTCTCAGGTCCATTAGACGAGCATTCAAACTATGTCCTGTTTTTCTTCGATATGCCCGAAGCCCTAAGTCTTCATTTAACACTCTTTTCACCGTGGTTCTGCTTAACCCCATCTGAAGGGCCAACAGTTTCTGCTTACGTTTCGGGAATTTCTTTGAATTCGCGCCTTCACAGCTTTAATCACTGCTGGAGTCCTACCTAACTGACTGAGGGCGACCACTTCTTGACCTGTCATCTACACTAGAGTCTTCATTGTATCGTTTGATGGTGAGATAAACGAATCTTTTGGCTATATAAAAATTTTTCAGTGTGTCAAAAATTTGAATTGGCGCGTAACCGCAACGATGCAACGCAATAACTGCAACACGGTTCTTCAAGCGTCCACACCATATTTAAAAATGAGTGAAATTCTAAAAAGTATACATTTTTATTTCCATGAATAATTCGAAATTCGAATTCAATAAACTTTTTTGTGGCCAGCATTCTAAAAGAAAAGTTTTTACTGTGAGAATACTTATGACCTGACTGTGTATATAAGGTACCTGAGTCGAACTTGACCACCTTTAAGTTTATTATACTTCTTTTGTAATAATAAAGCTAAAATAAATGAGTTTTAGCATTTATCCATAGAGAATGGCTATTCATCTTTACAACAAAGCCAAAAAATACCTTGATATTAACGATATATTGTATTTTTCAAGAGTTATAAAAAGATAGAAATTGGCCATATTTCCAACCAGGGAGGTTAATGTGTCCATGCGTGTGGCCATTGTACTGTATGAAGATACTTGTTTAAAAAACTTCTGAATAAACTGAACTAAAAATCGATAATATGTTTTTATAGACTACTTACTAGCTGTCCCAGCGAACTTCGTACCGCCATAAAAAATATGTGTTGTCCGATTCTCAGACCTACTGAATATGCATATAAAATTTCACGAAAATCGGTCGAGCTTGTTCGGAGTAGTTCAATTAGGCACACCGTGACACGAGAATTTTATAAATATTAGATTTAATTTTTAGGTGAGGTTTTGTTTAGCCGACGTACCTACAGTACCTAACTTACACATTCCCCAGTTAATTAGTCATAATGTGAGTTGCGAACCGAGAACAATAATAAGCATTTAAGTAGTTTTTTTTCCTGTGTCAGAGTTACCCATGAAGAGCTGTCACTTACCGAACCGGCCGGGGCGGCCGCAGGGACCGCGTGTTTCCCCACACATTTCTAAGCAACAAGCGAATGAACAAGAATTGCATTAAATTTAAGAAGCCCTCCTCGTGCTCAATTATAATGCGCCGCGTGTTTGAATATAATAAATATGATAGCGTTCTTATGTACATGGGAAACAACCTACGCGAGCACAGCCTCTGATTCGTGGTAAACGCCGACTGGTTTTTTGTTCTATTCCGGACAAGTTCTTATTTGTGTATCGGTTTATAAAGACAGAGAGCTGTGTTGTAATAGCATTGTGTTTCGGGAGCTTCGCAAATATGCAGCTCGCGGTGTTGTGTGTAATTGTGTTTGTTCAGTCGTGCTTCGTAACCGCAACCCCTCACGGATATGGAGTAAAGAGTGGTGCTCTAGCGAAAGGTTGGTGTTAATGAACTACATATAAGTATGATCAGATCCCTACTTTAATAATTATAGTGAGTCTGCTATGCAATTTAGGAGATGCTTTAGGTACCAAAGGGCAAACGGCCCCCATTACTTATCCTCCATTGTCCATCCATCCGTCTATCAGCAGCAGACAGTATCAAAATTGTTAAAAATTTTACAGACGTGATTTCTTTCGGTATTTTTAATCGACTTTAACAATCTCAATAGGTACTTATTTCAAATGTTATTAATCTTGTAAGTACGATGACACGGCACCCTTCATGTACAAGTTTGACACTTCAAATGTGGTGGATAGTTTATTAGAAGTTGTTGACTTCTTGTTGCGTTTGAGCGATCAAATAGAAAATGTGTCTGATGTTGTTATCTGCTAGATTACCTACTATTTATTTATTTAATAATATGAATATTGAAAATTCGATGCGATTGGAAAGAAGAGAGGGATTTGCAAAGTCTATATCGTAAATGAAGAAACTAAACAATCACTAAAAATTACTGAGAGGACAATTACCTCTACCACACGTGCGAAAATAAACCTCTCAGGTATTTTATAGTATTAGATATCAAACATAACAAGTCTTATTAGCATAATAACTTTAACGAGTTTTTCCTCCTAAAACTTAGTTTGAAGGTCTTTGAAACTTTTTGTTTTAATGATAAGTGTATTGTTTTAAAGATATTTGTATAATACCTTTAATTTAAGTTTTGTTTTGTTTATAGCTGATGCTAGTGCCGCAGCCGGTGCCTTCGGTGGATTAGATCCGGTACCTCATGGAATACCGATTGGAGCTGGTTTCTCAGGCAGTTATTCAAAATCTGCGTCATCCAGCTCTTCCTCTTCCAGCGCTAGCTCCAGTTCCAGCTCATTCAGTTATTCCGGGTCTGTTTTTCCCGGTGTTAGTGGAGGGTGTTCTACTGGCGCTTGTCAAAACAGTGAAACACATGATAAAAATGCATATACCCATGGACAAAATGGGGCAACGGGAACTGTAAATGGAAACCAAAACATAAACTATAACCAAGGCTTTCCCGTGAGTGCTGGTGCCGCCGGTCAAGCAGGTGCCACGGCGGGCTCGGAACTAAATTTCGGAAATCATAGAAATCCTTTATGCACAGGAAATAACTGTTTTCCTAAGGAATGCAAAGGTTCTGATTGTAACAATGTCCCAACATCAGGAAACAACTGTGAATCTGGCAGGTGTGAACAGCCACAATTTGTACACCAATTATCTTCATCATCTAACAATAGAGATAATAATAACGGGTGCACATCTGGACAGTGTGATACTTCTGTAGAAAATGGATCAAAACCTTCTAATTTCAATGTGAAAAAAGGATATTCATCCGATAACTGCCGATCTGGACATTGTGCGTCTTCAACCGTTGGACACGACAATAGCCCACACTCTGATGAAACGTCTAAAAGTACGACTCCTAACTTAAATAGTCCAGTAAAAGGCACATCTACGCCAGATAATGAAGATATTAATGTGAATTTTGCAAAGAACTCGAATTCGAATTATAATTACAACAATAATAATCAGGAAAATGCAATCGGAAACAATGGAAAAACTACGCATTGCGCTTTTGGGAATTGTGCACTCAATCCTCCTTTGAGCACGTCCGGCGACACTCCCTCATATTCTCCACACAAGACCGATACATCCAATTGTAATTCCCCTAATTGTAAAAATGATGTTTACAATCATGCTGCAGCCGCCGGTGGTGTTTCAGCTCCAGGCTACAATAAACCTGAAACTCATTTGACAGCTCCTAAACAAGAACCAACTTGTGTATCACCATATTGTAAACCGACTGACTCTGTCCCTGGGTACCACCCACCTGGTACCGTTATACCAGTGTCTGTTTCTCAACCTTATATTCCTTATGACAACAAAAAACAATTTAGTTGCACTGGTGGGCACTGCGGAAATAGTCAACCAAATTCATACATTACTCCGTCACATCCTATTACTCCGATTGCCAATCCACCTATATCTGACTTTGGATCATCTGGTCATAAATGTTCTTCACCTAACTGCGCTTCAACCCCTCAACACGTTTTAAACCAGAGCTCTCATAATTACAACGGTGGTCAAACGTCCACTTCCCATGCCTTATCAAGTTACAAGCCAACAACATCATCACAAACACCATTTGCGCCAGAAATTAATACCCCAGCTATTGTTCCTGATAAGAATTCTGGTTACCAACCTAATCAACCGCATTACTCCTCTCCTGTGCACGAGCATACCAATCAAGACAAACCAAACGCATTTGGAGCACCAAAACAAGACGAACCTCTCCCGTCATTTGTACCATTAAGTCCCCCAAGATCTCAGCCTTGTAATGGTAACAGTTGTCCCGGAGAACTTACAATAAAACCTAATTTTGGCGGTAATACAGTTCCAACGCAGACAAACTATGATCATTTTGGATTACCTCCTAAACCCTCTATTTCTAGTTATCCCTCCGTAGCTTCTATAGCTCCCGTCCATCAACCTTCAAACACAAACAAACCAGCACATGAAAGTCATGATAAACCTTATACAGGTGGCTTTGGAGGTCCACCAGGATTGTTAAAACCAAACGATTATAGTTTACCACATTCTGTACCACTTGATAAACCGGTAGTGGGCCAACAACCTTCAATGGTCTGTTCAGCCGGAAATTGTGATAGTGCATCTAGTCACGGGCATATTAATGGAAACTCAAATGCCGGAGCAGTAGTAGGTAGTTTTGGAGGTCCACCAGGACTGTTGAAACCAAACGATTATAATTTGCCAAATTCTGTACCGCTTAACAAACCCATAGCAGGACAGCAACCATCAGTAACTTGTTCAGCTGGAAATTGTAACAGTTCACCAAGTGAAGGACAGATTTATAACCATGGAAACTCAAATGCCGGATCGGTCGTAGGGAGTTTTGAAGGTCCACCAGGACTGTTGAAACCAAACGATTATAATTTTCCAAATTCTGTAACGCTTAACAAACCCATAGCAGGACAGCAACCATCAGTAACTTGTTCAGCTGGAAATTGTAACAGTTCACCAGGTCAAGGACAGATTTACAACAATGGAAACTCAAATGCCGGATCAGTCGTAGGGAGTTTCGGTGGTCCACCAGGGCTTTTAAAACCAAATGATTTTAATTTGCCAAATACTGGGCCGCAGAATAAACCCATAGCAGGACATCAACCTTCAGTGCCATGTTCAACTGGGACTGGAAATTGCCACAGTGCACCTAGTCAAGGACAGATTTACAACCATGGAAACTCAAATACAGGATCGGTCGTAGGTAGTTTTGAAAGTTTACCGGGTTCATTAAAACCAAACGATCATAATTCACCAAGCTCTGTATCGCTTAACAAACCCACAGCAGCACAGCAACCACCAGTGCCATGTTTAACTGGAAATTGCCAAGGTGCAAACAGTCACGGACAGACTTACAATAATGGAAACTCCAACGCCATCACAACCGTAGGTAGTTTTGGGGGTCCACCAGGGCTTTTAAAACCGAACGATTTTAATTTGCCAAATACTGTACCTCATAACAAACCCGCAGCAGAACAGCAACCTTCAGTGCCATGTTCCACCGGAAATTGCCATAGTGCACATTATCAAGGACAGATTTATAATAATGGAAACTCAAATGCAGCGTCAACCGTAGCTAGTTTCGGAGGTCCACCGGGGCTATTAAAACCAAACGATTATACTTTGGGAAATGCTGAATTTCTTAACAAACCAGTAGCCGGACACCCTTCAGTATCGTGCTCCAGCGGAAACTGCAACAATCTTGCCGCTCAAGGACTAGTAAATAATGGAAATTCAAACAAAATATCAGCAACGCACGGTACGACAGCATGTGCAACGGGTAAATGTGGTTTCCCAAATGGAAGTGGTGCACATATTTTAAATGGTGCTCATGCTTCCGCCGGTGCTGCAGCTTCTGCGAACGCAGTTGTCTATACAGGAGGTTTTGGAGGTCCGCCTGGTTTTCTGAAACCATATGACGATGGAAATGTTAAAGCTGCACTAGCAAGTTTAGGGGGCAAACGTACGCATATAAACGTGGCTCCCAGTGGTATTTCTGAAAACGGGCCACATTCAACCCTAAAAACTGGAGCTGGAAGTATTGCTCAAGCATTTGCGGCAGCTGGAGCCAATGCCGGAGCATTAAGTAGTCATCCCAGTCATTATAATCACAACGATGACGGAGAACATAAAACGGGACGTGGTTGCAGTGGAGACTGCTCTGCGAGTGGCGATGGATCACATAGCGGCGGACCGAATTCATATCTAGATGGTGGCTTTGCTGGATTGAGTGCAGCAAAAGCCGGTGCTGTTACTGGAGCAAACGCTGGATCAATTGGATTCGGAGGCAGCTTTGCAAGTAGTTCTGCGAGTGCACACGCTTCTGCAGGAGCTGCTGTAAAAGGTGAGTTAATGCCAACTGTAGAGACCTACTAGAAACCAACATAAGCTAAAGAATTTTTTAACAATAACGAAACCAGAACCAAAACTTGACCTAAATATATAACTATATAACATTACTGTTTTTCATAATTTACGTGCTATTGCCTTGTAAATGGTTTTTAAAGTCTGTAGCAACTATAGAACCTGTGGCACAGGTTACACTTATTAAAACCTATTTCAGGCACCAGGACCTCCTAAATGGGGGATCGTATATTTTATTCAACACTTATGTTTATTTACTGTATTGTTTCAGGTTATGGTCGGAGATAAATTCTGAGTTGTAATTATTACAAATGCAATTCTCCAAAACACAATGGAAAATTCAAAAAGACTTCTAGTTATTAAAACTTTATTGTGATACTTGCGTAATGATACATTATGTAGTTTTAAACATACTAATAAATCATTATCCTATGTATATTTAGATTTAAGATGTATTATTTAAAATATAAATGTATAATCAATCTAAATCTCTACGAGCTTTTAGTTAAAAATTGACCTTAATAAATCTAGATAAAATACCATTGACCTAACCTTTGTTTCTGTTACAACCTGCTTGTATTTATTCTACAATAGAATATCTGCTCATCTGAGGTGAATGGATAAGTATTATTTATATCTCTTGATTATGGCTATTATAGGAAAACAAAGCGGTTACGATGATTGCCCTCGTTACCTCTATACGTTACCGCTAACCTTCTAAGGACCTAAACAGGCAGTACGTCCACAGAAACGTTCGTAAATCATTTGAAACGAGTCATATATCTGCTGATACAATCATACACTCATCCATTGTTCACGAGCTTCACGACCATGTAAAGCTGAGTTCATACAAGCGAGAATAAATTGCCATAGATAGGGCTGTCATTAATCACGTGAGGCTCGAAGGGGGGGGGGGGGGGTCCATAAAAAATCACGAAATATCATAAGGGAAGAGAGTGGGGTGTAGTATGATATCACGTGTAAATACACGATATACGATAAACTTATACATGAACATTATTTAATGAACAGTATCCTCGGACCACGGATTTACGTGGTATATATATACTGCTCATTAAATAATGTTGATGTATAAGTTTATCGCAATTCTTTCATTATTTTTATGTATGGCACGATGAAAGATGAAGTCTGAGAGCGAAGCGAAGAAAAAGTATATAGTGGCTTTTAATTTTTTTTTAAGTTAGTCAAAATGTAATAAATATTGTTTTAGAAAGGTTTCTATTAATTTATTTGTTTTTAATTTCTTAGTATCGAGGTATTGTGTATAAAAAACCTTAAAATGGTGCATGCCAATACGAATCAACCGAGCTCAACTACTATAGGATTCCTTTGTTTCTTAACAGAGTTCCCATATTCATGTTGCGACTGTTAAATTTCAGAAAACGACAAATATTACGTTGCTGGCTTGGCTTCAAGATTGATGATTTTTATTCTGTAAACAATAGGTTAGGTAGACGCGGCTAGCTTTAAATTTCTTTAGTAAGTATGATCTAAGCTTAAGGTGGACGGATGCTGGTAAAAAATTAATAATTCATGGACATTATGTCACACTGATCGCATCAATTTGCAATCATTATTTATGTATGCAAAATTATATTAATATAAAGTAACACATTTTTTGTACAACTCAGATGACTGTAACAATGACAGCACAATACCTTGATATATAAAAACAATTTATGTAAATTAGTATAGGTAAATATACCTATAGGTAGTTATATGCTTTAGCCTTTGGACTGAGATCGGAAAAACCAAACAGAATTCTCCATTCCAATATTGCTGCTTTACTGTTAAATCAGTTAGGGCTCTTTCAATTTATGCGTTTCTTGACGGCCTGCTGCCTGCGGCAATGCAAAAAGTGCGGACATGTCCGGACTTTTTGCATTTTGTCCGGACTGTCCGGCTTCTCAATTTGTCCGGATTTTTTTAATTAGATGGAATATGATTAAAAATACTTATTAAGTCCAAAATATCAAATAATTCAAATAATCTTTATTAAGTTCTTATTAATTTAAAACAAAACATAAATCATCTTTAAAAATCAACAACGAGACCCCTCGTGATGCGAGCGTCTGCCACCACGCGTATAATATCACTGCAACTAAGTGGGTGATGTTTGCATTTTGTGACTAAAATCAAAAATGAAATGTCCGTCTTTTTGTCAGGACTTTTAAAATTTTTATATAGTAACCCTAGGTATTGTTAATCTGATCGTTGCCGCCACTGGCCATTGATCGTGGCTGTTTACTGCACGAGGTGCCTAAGAAGAGCTTCAAAGGAAGCTAAAGTGGCATCAAAAGCGTGTAGCTCCAGCCATATCCGCCTTTGCTGCCTGAAATGGTGATTTGCAGTAGTCTTTTGTAAGCTGGAGCTCGAAAGTTATTTCCTCAGACGGATGCTCCAGTTCGAGCTGAAAGCCACTATGCCTAACATCTTTTAAAGATCTGTAATATTTGCGTTTCTGAAAATTTATTTTGTCGGGATTGCAAAAGGCGCTGATTCAAATTTTGGGCCGAATCGAATGGTATTTTTTAATAGTCCAGTCGGAATAAACATGAGACCTATTCTAAGACACCAGCGCTTAGCCAATTTTTTCCTAGATAGTATAGACCCCCACGAATATGCCCTCCATTTGTCCCCGCTAGAACGCGTGTTTTGTAGCCAGGAAAATTGTTTAAGCAAAGAAAAACCGGTTTTTTGAATTTTTTTGCTTGTAAACGGGGATTTTGAAATTTTTTTTGAATCAAAGTTGTTTATTAGCTTGCCCTCTACAAAATCAGTTCTATGAAAAAATAACGTGAGATTGTTAGTTTAGCAGTAAATTGCAATTATGTCGGTTTTACGTTTGCAACAATTCAACATGTTATAATAAACATTTTGATTTCTAAAGTAGTTTATCATGTGGGTAACGCCACTCCCAAGAGAGTCATGTAAAATTTATCGACCTGTGTCGTAAACTTTAGCAACAATTCTCAATCTCCGAAAAAAAGTACTTGCCTGTCCCGTCTTTCCCAGAAGGCGCACAGCGGGGAAAAAAATTCAGGTGATTCGATTCACCAAGAATTTTGAGGAATCGATCGAGTAGAAAAAAATCGTTAATAAAAATGTTCGTTTTTGGACGATTTAATTTTTTTTTAAAAATTGACGTAGAATATTTTTTTTTAAACTAATGTATTTTTCTCTCCTCAAAAAACTCAAAAAAACCGGTTTTTCTTTGTTTAAACAATTTTCCTGGCTACAAAACACGGGTTCTGGCGGGGACAAATGGAGGGCATATTCGTGGGGGTCTATACTACCTAGGAAAAAATTGGCTAAGCGCTGGTGTCTTAGAATAGAAGTCGGTCCAAATTATGGCTATTCCGACTGGACTATAAGGAAAATATAAGCGTACGCGACATCTAATAAGTTTAGATTAGACTGCGTGTTCGTCAAGGAGGACTGACGTCACCGGACCTTTTTAACCTGTATGTCAATGGATTGATCGAGAGACTCAGAGGAGCCAGGGTTGGCTGCCATGTTGGTAACGTATGTGTTGACACCCTGAGCTACGCCGACGATATGGTTCTTCTGAGTCCCTCGAATAATGGACTTCGAAAGCTTCTTTCAATATGTGAGTCCTATGCTGGGGAACATGGATTGAAATATAATGTGGCTAAAACTGAAGTCGTTATTTTTCGGAACGGAAAAGGACCGGTAAACGTTCCACCGGTGTGGCTGTATGGTTCGCCGATTCGGGTTGTAACGAGGTTCAGATATCTGGGTCATATATTGAATGGACAGCTCAACGATGAGGACGACATGGAGAGGGAGAGAAGGGCTCTTGCGGTGAGGTGCAACATGCTTGCAAGGCGGTTCGGCGGATGTTCGAGAGACGTCAAGATAATGTTGTTTAAGGCGTACTGCCAAACGTTTTATACATGTCAACTTTGGCTGAGATATACAAAACGTTTGTTTAATGTGCTGCGAGTCCAATATAATGACGCCTTTCGCATCCTGCTCAAAAAACCGCGATATTGTAGTGCCAAGGAAATGTTTGCTGAAGCAAATGTTCCCGATTTTTTCTGTATCCTCAGATCGCGGTCCGCTTCGTTCTGGGAGAGGCTCCGTGAAAGTGGGAACTCCATTCTCCGCAACATCCACGATGACGTGGACAATGTATTTTTTAAACATTGGAATAAATTACATCGTTTTGGAAATGACAGTCTGAAATAAACATTCAGCAAGTCCTATGTTATTTTTTAGGTAATTTTATAATATACACAGTTTTATTTTTATTTTTTATTATCAATTTTGTCATATGGGTCTTTTGCCTGAAATAAAGAAATTATTATTATATTATATTCTTATATAGGCATATAGATATAGTGTATGACACTAGAAGACGCGTGCGTGTGTCAATTTACATTAAATATAGATAAATAAGCAGACTAGATAGGTTAATGCTGTAACTACTTACGTATGTAAAGCCCACCAACTTTTGTGGGGAGAATCCACTCATACGACCTTCACGTGTATTACTCAGTCGCAAGTATTCAATGTTATTTAAGCTACTACTTACTCACAACATATTTAAAAAGCTATTTATAAAGCTTTTTATACATCGCTCCTTTATTAATAAACGAAAACTAAGTTTGAATTAGTTACGCGTTTGTTTTAGTTAATTCAATAAAAAATAAATTAAAGTTAAATTTATTTTTCTTTCTTTCTTTTCTTAAAAGACGAGACACTTTTCTATTTCTAGTCTAGTCTATTTTCATCGGATTACAAGTTTCATACGAGTGACGTAAACTTTTTTTCACATCATAAATTATTTGTAGTTTTAAGGGTTCGTTACACAAAGCCAAAGACTGCCTACGGAACACTAACCCTACTACTAAGCTTCTGCTGTCCCTTCGTTCATCCGTCTTTCAGCAGGCTGTTATCTGATAATTCGGAATAGTAGTAGTAGACTGATTCGCAGATCTAACGCAATAGGGTATATGAGCTTTGTTTTTTTTACCCGGCTGCGCAATGCAAGAGCGCGAAGCGCGACGCGCAGACAGGGTATAGTGTTTAACAGTCTATATATGTATGTTTGTTCCTTTGTGGCAGACTAGAGACCAAACGCCTGGACCGATTTTGATTATTCATACATCAATCGATTCGTCTCAATCATGGGAGTGCTACTAAAGATATGATAGTAATCAAAATTCAATATGGGCAAAATTAGGCGCCATATTATGACGAAGTAAAAAAAATAAGTTGACAAAATATGTCGAGTGGGGTATCACTGTCTAGATAATCAAAAATCATAGGTTCATAACACCATTTTTCATTTTATATGATTGTTTAGGATCTACAACGCTTTAAAGTTGTATATTAACCACTTAAGCTTTTAATTTCAATCTTACGTTTGTATGGATTTTTGTTACTCTTTCACCTAAAAAATACTGAATGGATTTT